TAAAACCCAGATGGATACTTTATTATTTGGACATTCATGATCAGAGAAATGCTCAAGTTTCACATTACTACAAAAGGACAACCCACGCTTGATTTTGCCTCAAAAGTTATTGACATATCATAATTGTTTTATTCCCATTATTATGTAATTGCTAATTGATTCCGACATCATGAACAATCAGGAGTTGGCACTTTTTCCACTTCAAGTATATGAGCTTTTTATGTGTGACAGCCACAGCTTAACAAAACAGGTTTCTTGAGTGAGAATGTTCCAACTTGTATATGAAAGGCACAGTGAGAAACATAGAGTATTCATAAGGATTTGTGCGTTAATGACACAGCAAGCCCTTTTTTCATTGCACAACCTTTTCAATGACAATGTATCCAGTTTGAGGAGCCTAGCAAGCAGGAGTTTCTGGACTTGTCGCTTGAAGTCATATCAGATTTACTGCACGACTGCACAATTTCCTAATCAAGGCTACGAGAAAGAGCTGCACTTGGGCTGAACTCTACACACAATCAGGCATAATGTTATGACCATCACAGTAATGAGCAGTGAAGGAAGATTTTAGGAGCTTTAATATACTTAAAATTATTATTAGTATGAATGTGCTTTTAATATTTTTGTTTTATTTTATGTGTTAAATTATACTACATTTATTTTTCTTTTTTAAATTTACTCAATACTTTTTAAAGTAACTTGTTATTTTTCAATGCTAATAACATAAGAACCAGCAGCTTATTGGGCGAGGTCCCGGTGTGGAAAGTACAGTAACTAATTTAAATTAATAATTTTTAAACTAATACTATAAAAAGCATAGTATGAACCATGTTGTCTTTAGCTATGACATCACTACATTGCACTCTCTCATTGGCCAAACAACTAAATTCACTTTTACACAGCATCACTTCCCTTTTTTATATAAAATATATTCTGACAGGCTTCTCATATTGTAATACAGAGTAAAATGTAGGTCATGGAGTAAAACATCACCAGATGCTTTTATTTCCTACTGGTTCACACAGCTGCAGATTTAAGTCTGCCTAATATAGGCAGACTATATATTACAGTACATATACACATACATTTGTACTTACACTAATATAACATTATTTTAAAATATATTTACAGTCCACAGTAAGTTTGGAAATTGCTTTTGCTTGTAATTTTAGAAAAAAAGCCCAAAACGTTCTGAAAACTTTCACAGGTGAACTTGATGTGTTCTTCTCAAAACATTGTGACTTTGAGACTAACCCTAAGCACTGAACAGAGAGAGCAGTCTTTGTGCAGCTGGGATTGATGTTCAAAGCTACAGGATTAGTTATAGAGACATTATTATAATGTGGACTACACACAATATTCAACAATAAGATGTTTTCAATCAAAACATTTGAGATGAGGAAATGTTATTTTTACAAAAATGTCCTACTTTCATGATACCATTGTTGTGTGAACTTTTCACATTTTCTACGTATTTTACCCGAAAGCCAAATTTCAAACTTATTGTGAGTAGTGTATATGGTCATAAGTTATGCCTGATCCACGTTCTTGATTCATTCATTCGTTCATGTATATGAGATGGAGAAAATAATCATGGTTTTGAATCAAATCAATAAACCTTCTTAGATCTTCTCATCACTGAACACATATTTATAATATTACATTGAACATTACTCTGATGAAAAAAAATTCTCTTTGATGAAAAGTAAATACAAAATGACACTAGTGAGAAATCTGAGCTACAGAGATACAAAAAAGCAGCTGCTCTCATGTGCGAGCTCAAATGCTACTTTTTATAAAGAAATCAAACACTGTTCATACAATTATTTGAAAATGAATACAGAAACCAACAGATCAAAATTGATACAATACAATTATCAACACAACTGCATGACTGATTAAGGACAAATCAAAAATAGAATTATTGTTATTGCAAAAAAAATGTAAACATCCCATTAGGTTCATTTTTTATAACATGGCAAAAGATCCTCGTAAATGTGTAGGTTTTGAGTAAATGTGGGACAAATTTACAAATTGTTGACTACCAAGCATCAATATTCTGAAGGATTTTACACTTGATAAGAGTGTACTATTAATTTAAGAGATAACAGTGATAGTTTCTAGTTAACTAATATTTGAATAGGTAGTCACATGACTGTGTCACATGTACATTCAACCCATCTCTCCAATGCCACTAGGGCCTCAGTCAGGAGCAATGGTTGGTACAGCACGGCGCCCGAGAACCCATCTCCAGAGTTTGATGCTTGGCTTGGTCAGGACGACTTTCAGTGGACGCCATATGTTGCATGTATTTGGTAATGGGGGTAAACCAGAGCACCCAGAGGAAACCCACCCAGACATGAGGAGAATCGTGCAAACTCCACACAGATCGAACCTGCGACCTTATTGTGGGGCATGAATGCTACCCACTCAGCCATTATTTATTTATTCATATATTTAAATATATATATATATATATATATATATGGTAAATGTGAAGACATCTAATTGGCTTACATCTGAATATCAGATATAACGCCAGTAGTCCCGTCAGAACATTGTTTTACACAATGTACAGTGCCATGAAATTGAACTGATGGACCTTAAACATCATAAAAAACATTTCATTGTGTAATTTTATACAACAATTATTTATATTGTTGGTGTTGGCAATGTTGCCGTTGTGAAAGACCAACACAAAGTGAAGACAATTGTGAAGTGGAAACATACTGTAATTCCAATATTCCAATGATTCCATCATTTCATCTGAAAAGTGTGGATTGCACACTTCTGAGTGCACACATTTGCCTTTAGAAGTTGCCTGACGATTGCTCAAATGTTGACAAAGTTTAATCTAGTGATGGCCTCAGGTTTGAATAATATATAATAGAGGTCACTAAACAGTATCATGCAAGTTTAAAAGCATGCTTGTGTTACACATTTCCCAATGATCACCCAGAGAACTGTTAAATGGACCATCTGGTGATGGGAAGTGTATGGCACAACTGATAACCTACCAAGTCCACCTAATAAACAACTCAAACAAGGACAGCACTGGTCAGAGATACAGTCAAGAGTGGAAACTCTAGAAGAGCACCACACATCCACAGCTCACCTGGAATTTGTACAATACAATTGTACAACACATATTTATGTGTTGGATTAGCCAAGTCAAAGACCAAATCTAAATCCAAATGAGAAACTCAAGATCCATTAAAAAAGGTTCTTTATCTCATGAGATTGAAACTTCAGCAAAAAAAGAATGGGGAAAAAGAAAGTCTCAAGATGTGCAAAGCAGGTAGAGATATACCCCAAAAACTAGGATCTAAAAGTGGGAGAAAAGGGGGTTCCATAGAGTATTGACCCAGAGGGTTTGCTTTTGCAAGCCACGGTCAACAGTTTTATAGATAAAGTCATGTTACATTTTGCTTTCAAGTCATAATTGTCTTCTGCACCTTTTTGTTTGTCTTTCACATAAAATGGCAATAAATAAGTTTACATGATTGTAGCTGTAAAGTGTGAAAACGTTCATGGGGTAGAATACTGAGCACTGGACACTTTTGTTGTTTATTAACTATGGAAATGTTATGTACTGTGTGTCCCAACAATTAGACAAAACCATATGAAAAACAGTGCTAAAAAAGCAGACAAAAAATACTATCAAGATGTCTCACTTATATGTACTGCTACTTCTAAAAGCTAGGAGCACGGTGAAAGGTTTAAATCGCATAGCTTTGAAACACTTAAGATTTCCTTTGACAAGTAGCTGGAATATACCGGTCTGTATTTACACCTAGCAGCAGTGAAACAACAACTTCTTCACACACTCTGGACCGTTATACAAGTAAATGAGGTGGAATGTGCATAAAAAAGAATTTCCTCAAAAATTGGTCATGTCTTTTCATTCTTTTTTCTTATAAATCTTACTGGCACAATTTTACTCATTACAGTAATCAATTCAATTTTGGCACTTAAATATAAATACAGTATTTTTTTTTTTAAATAAATACATAAATAAAACAAAAGTACGATTTCCAGTGATAGTTTAAGGTGGAACTTTGGTCTCCATATTATCATCTGGATTTAGAAAAGAATGCTGGTCATCAAATGGAAAGAAACACATTGAATAAATACATAAATAAACAACAAAATAATAAATAACTTGAAGGCCTCAACAACTATATTTAGAACTGCTATAAAGAAAGAATAGCTTAACCGCTCCATTTTCAATTATCTTTCTTGTGTAATATTAAGCTGCTTTAAGATTTGGCCCTTGCTTTTTGTAAAACACTGTCCTACCTATGGCCTAAGTGAGGTGAGTTTCTCAGTGGTCAAAAGTGCAATTGTGACAAGTGTAAACCATGGGCTTCTACTTTTATCCGAGAAGTTACAGTACGCTACGCTTGTTTGCTGTGAGTGGAAGTTTCCTCCACATGTGCTACTTTTACAATAGTTTAAGTAAAATTTCCTTTCATGTCAATGCATTTTGACGACATATAATCTGATTTCGATAATTCATTTTTGTGATAAAATATAGTCTTCTAAGTTAGTGTGCAAGATTGTAGTAAAATAATAGCCTCCTGTTTGCTGGCCATCATAGTAGATTTAGGTGCTTTTGATGAGGTATGATTTGTGGCCAGTATCTCAGAGGGGTAATTCATCTTCATTGACAGCAGTAACTACTTCTAATGACTGAGGGTTACGTGTTTAACTCCTGGTTGCTGGTGAAATAAACAAAGATATCATTAATGCTGCAAACAGAGGAGTGAGGAAATGATTATGAAGATGACAACTTACTCCACAATACTTTTGTAAATAACACACTGTTCTAATGGCAAGTTTCCCATATTCCCTTAGTGTGTGCAGATGGAGATTTCAGTTGGTACCTGCAGAGTATTGTCAGCCCGTCGGTACAATGGTGGATGACAGTGAAGGGTCCAGTGTGCTAAAAAAGGATACGCCTTCAGCTGTCTTAACCTTCCACTGAGTCTGTTCCCGGTCTACAGAGGCAGATCTGTGCTGTTGTGGCGAGTCTTTCTGGAAGTGCCGTCATCCCGGGGCAGCGCTTTCTGCAAGTTGGACATGGCTGCGGTTTTTTTCAGGTCTATGACAGCGTAGCACTCACTCCGCCGCGGAGCCTGCTGCGAGACGCACTTTTTGGATGATAGGCGCTGGTGCTGAGGCTGAGCCCCTGCACCCAGTGCTGTGGGGCAGGGCTCTCCCTCCAGGTCCACCTGAATGTAGTTCAGCTGCCGCGTGGGCATATGACCGTGCTCACAGCCCCCCGCTCCTGATCTTGACCTTCTACGGAAATCAAAATTAAATATTCTGCCGCCTCTGTCGGGCTGACAGGAGCGCGGTGGAAGGGGGCATGGGTGTCGTAGCCTTGACGGCTGAACCTGCTCAGTGTTCACATAGTTCTGCAGAGCGTCTCTGTGGATGCCTCTACTTTCTTGATGGTACCCATTAGGGGTGCCAGGCCCTTCAGAGAACTCGTATTCATCAAAATCATCCTCCTCTTCGTCATACTCATCCTCATCCTGCTCGTCCTCCTCTTCCTCCTGTTCTTCGTCTCGCTGCAGAGCACTGTACTCCCAGACTGGGGGCAGCGAGGGCAGGTTCTCATAGTTGAGAAGGGCTGTCCTGCGGTGGCTCATGCCCCGGTCACAGGGGTAGCCCTGAAGGGGCAGGGAGGCCGGCCCGTGGGAGTGTAGCAGTGTATGGGAGTGACTGTCGCCTGTGGTACTGCTGCTGCTGCTGGAGCCCACAGACTGAGACACGCTGCTGGGGCTGAGGTGCTGCTTCCGGCGCAGCCCGTTGATGTTCTCGTAAGTCAGTTCACTGCTGTCTGAGAGCTCATGGGTCGGGGGGTGACGGAGAGCATGGTGATGGAAATGGTGATAAGAGTGAGAATTGCACAAGTGCATAGAGGGCTCGTCTCCTTCTGTCTCTGAGCCTGTGGCGCCCTCTACTGGCTGCAGACTGTGAGGGTTGAGCCTTTCTCTATCTCTCTCCATTAGATGGCGCTGTGCCGGAGTGGGGCCCAGTCTGAACTTCACCTCCTGTGAAGATGGCTGTATGAATACCTGAGGTTCTTTATGCTCCTCTATGGAGCAGCAGCGCAGGTTGGACTGAGCAGAGCTCTGGCCTCCCCGGGCTGTATCGGGGAACGTGCTGGGGCGAACTTCAGGTAGGGAGTGCACACAGTGACGCATAGAGAGATCACCCTCCATAGTAACGGTATTTACATAGGTGTGAGTCTACAAGGGGTAAAAACACATCCAATTATGAGTAAATTAACTTAGTTGAATAATATATATATAAAGATGTAGCTGACCTGGTCCTCCAAACCTAGCAGGCTGTGACCATGCTCATCTGTGATTGAAGGCTGGGAGTCGCCTCTGAGAGGGTAACCTGGGTAACCATTTGGAAAAGCCTGACCAGGGAATCCTGGAGCTGCAAACGCATAAGTGATTGAGTAACACAATTATTTTGGGATCTCTTCTCATAGTGGCAGACCTGCCTTTCATAAATGATGTGTAAATGAAAGGCTACCCCATCTTAGGCACCCGTCTTAATAAAATTAGCAAATACCTGAATTAAATGTTATTTACTAGGGCTAATTATTCAAATCTGTTGCATAAATAATGTTTATGCAAGCTTCTGCAGGTATGCTTTTCACTTAATTCCTATCCTAAAAAGACCTGCAAAATGGCTTCTGTCTTGTCGTATCCATAGTATGCTCGTGGGACTCACTGTTGGGTGTCTGTGGGGTGCGGGACATCTCCATTTCTGGAGTGTGACCGGTGCGGCCCATCATCATCGACTCCTCCACCACATTGATACTGTTACACTGCATCAGCTCCTGCAGCAAGTTGAAGATTTCTTCGGCTCGGGAACACTTGAATGCAAATATTCCTGGCAATGGAAAACCAATGAAAGAAATGTATATCCAAACACATGGCATTTCTCATAGCTATATCTGATGACAATTGTTTCGGAGTAGAGTTTGCACGTTTTCCCTTTGTGAATAGGTTTCCTCCGAGTGCAATACCTGCAGAATATAATATGTACTCAGGTGCCCGATCAGCAGCAAGTTGTGTATATGCTCTATCTGACTCTGGCAACACTGTAAATGTAGTACCTTTTTAATAACAGCGATAGGCTACTTATTCACACTCCTGGTATTGAATGATGCATGCTCTTACAACTAGTTTGTGACTTCCTATTACTTAAAATGGCAATACAAATCATTCTGATTCTGAGAACTGGTGGCTAGGAAAAATATTTTTGTGTGCACTTTGTGACTATTGTAATAGAAAATCTTCCTAATTACAAAAAGTTAATTGTATTATAACAATATGCAAATATAATGTAATAATAAAATTGTTTGTATATGACATATATATATATATATATATATATATATATATATATACATATACATATACATATATATATATATGTCATCTGATTTAACCTATTCCTACATCCAAGCTTACCCTGTCCTGTCTGACAGCGCCGCCCGCTCTCAAAAGAGAACAGGTTGGAGTCGTAGCCGTAGCGTCGCAGACACAGATACGGCCACCGGATTGCGTCTCTCTTACGAGTGTGAAGGATGAGCTCAGTCTGGGTGAGCTCCATGATCCCAGAGCCCAACTCGTTGCCCTCATCGTCCACATTTGTGACCTAAAACATACTTGAACAAGTTAATAAAAAATAGAGGAAAAAACCAGCAGACAACGGAACAAAATGTATCCTGCCTTAAATTTAGTGAGATGGTTGTCTCGAATGGGGTCTCTGTACAGACAGCTCCAGCAGCTCCCCATAGCTACAGCAGGCCAGCTGAAACCTAAGTATGGTGGAAATGATTAACATTTGTGAATTTATTCCTCAAATATATATTATAGTATATGCTGTGGTAAACATTACAATACGACAGGGAACTTACTCAGTCTAGGCCATCAGTGAGAAGGTTTTTGATCTTCGACTGGACATAGTCACATGGTCCATCTCAGTGACTGACAACTTTGAGGAAGAGCAAACGGTCTCCCCCCTAGATAGGACAAAAACAAACAAAAACAAGAGTAGAAACTGTTGATCTCAAACACCAGAAGTACAATTTATGATCACTAATTATGGATTCAACCAAAACAAATCAATACAGATTTGACATATAATTATACGTATCATAGAAACCTGTGAGGTGTTGAAAACTTGAATAAACCTCTGCAGAAGGCCTACATGGATGACAGGCTGATGTACATATGCATGCAGTCCAAGTGGATACACAGACTTGGCTTTGCATGGACGTATATTATCGGTCTCCAGCTGTAAACACATGAATCCGCCCAATAAGCGCTCCACCTGGGCCTGATACCAGCAGCAGTCAGCACCAGCCTGGATCTATGTGGCACCAGCACTCGCTGCTTCAGATCAAAATGCGTGCTGCTACAGCGCTAGCTTCATTTAACGCCTCGCGTTCTATTCCACACGACAGTACACAGTACCTATAAGGTTTTCATAGAAATGAAATCACAGCCTGTGCAATTAGCCACCGCTGTACCAGCAGCTCCATCCACACATCCCACAGCGAGAGCGCGTCTAGCGGCTACAGCACAGCCGTGTGGACCATGATACATCCATGGTGTGAATACAATAGCGTGAGCACATAACTGAACGAACAAGTGGATAACGAGTGCGATGGTTTGCTACTCACATGTCAGGCACTGCTTTGTTGGCGTTAATGCGAAAGCAGCATTGATGCAGCGGCAGGAGTCTGCGATAGCTGCTGTTGGGAGAGCGATGTGGCACTTGAGCGAGAGACAGAAGAAAAAGATGCTGCGGGAGCAGTAAAATAGTGTTCTTTTTCCTGGTATTACGCCCCCTGCAGCAGCACGGGCCTCTGCCTGTGTGACATTTCCTATGCAGCTGGGGTGAAAGTTCACCGAGGCAACGAGCAAAGGCGAGTGGCAAGAAGGCATAGGCTGGAGGACCGGGAGAGAAGAGGCGCATACACTTACTATTTCCTCTTTATGATTTACACATGCTATTGCACAGCTATAATAGGCTACAACAAATGACTAGTCTAGTCATATTTGATTTATTTTGTGTTTAATTAAAAAAATCAACAAACTTTCTCGATAATCATAGTCTATAGACATTTACATTTTCATCATTAAAAACAAAAAAATTGTAAACTCATGTTCTGATGGGTGTATGATCAAAACGTAAGTTTCCACTTAACTCGGTAAGTCACGTTTACAGTTCTGTGTCGGAAAACATCGTGTGTTTAAGAATGATATGGTGAGATGACTTTAGTTGAGCTACATTCTTACAATAACATGAAAACTCCTAATGTGCTGTGGACCAATCAGAGCGCGTGTTTTTGGTGACGTAGCGCGGTGTGGTTGGTGTCGTGCTGAAAGACATGTGGGAGTATTCGCTCAAATGTTTATTGAGCTGTTTGATAAGAGACGGACACTCGTCACATACACACATATCATCATTATCAGCCAAGGAGGCCAACTGAAGTGAACACAGTGAGTAGAGCTAAGCCTCCTTAAGTGATCTCTTTACAGCTGTTTTGTTGATGGTATTGAACACTCGGACAAAATTCTCGCAACGTTTGTCTTCTTGGTTGTTGCAGGAAACTACTTCATTAAAAGCTTCAATGTGACTTTCAGTTTCACATTTTGCACAAAAACGTTAGCTAGCGCAGTTGCAATATTACTGTGAAGTTAGCTATATCATTTTAGGCTTTGATGTAGAGACCTCCGCCACAAAACCATCTTTTCCAAAGGGCGAGCAGCTGCTGAAGCCCAGGGGCCTTGCATTGTCGAGGGCTCAGAATTATAGGGAAAGGGCACTTCGTGGAATTGGCTATATGTGTTCCTGTGTCTTTCCTTCGGAGACCAGCCCTATCAGACACATGGATCTATAATAACGATCAGATATCATTGCTAGTTGTTCAACGAGGCTCATTTGGTCTGATACATTCTTTAAGTTGATTATTTTGTTTCCGTATCTGACATTTTTACGTCACACGAACATCACGTGGCCACTCTCAGGCAGAAAACACTTGTCTTAAAAAGAGTATAAACTTGTTGCTATGATTGCTTATTAATAGGTGTTTTTCTTACATTTGAATGTCACAGTTTTGTATTTTCTTAAAACCAAAGTCAGTATTTTAGTATAATTAGTATTACTAATCCAATAATTGTTTTAAAACGTGTTTTTCTATTTTTTATACTGTCCCTTACAGGTCATGGACGGATGGCTACCTATGATTGGAATGACTGCTCTGCCACACCTCGGAGGACTCTATGGGGGCTTTACTACACGCAAGGCGGTGAAAACCTGGTACCCAACATTGAAAAAACCCTCTTGGAGGCCCCCCAACGCTGTGTTTCCAGTAGCATGGACTTGTCTATACACTGGCATGGGGTAATGTTTAGGATTGATGTGCGACTTATTTAAGGTTAACTTTTCAATATAAATTTGCATATTTTTGTTAAATATTGCAGCTATGGTTCCTACGTAATTTGGAAAGAACTTGGTGGATTTAGTGAAAAAGCCCTAATCCCTATGGGACTGTATGGTCTGCAACTGATGCTGAACTGGGCCTGGACTCCTATCTTTTTTGGTGCGCACAAGATTAAATGGGTACGTTAGCTAATGTGAAAAACAAAAAATAGCTGCTCTCAAGTAACCATAGACTGTAAAAGTGTAGTATGTAACATGTATTTTTTTTTAATACTGCTATTGCATTTCACATTAGGCTCTTGTGGAGATTGTGCTACTCACTGGCACTGTGGGAGCAACCATGTGGTCATGGTATCCCATAAGCAAAACTGCCACCCTACTTCTTGCCCCCTATATGTCCTGGCTGTGTCTCGCCACCGCCCTCAACTACTGCATCTGGAGAGACAATCCTGATGAAGGAAAGACTAAAGAAGAATGATAATATTTCTTACTTTACACTTAAATGATTTTGTAAAAACAAAAGGTCATGTGGGCGTGATACATCACAAGAAGGGCGTGATACATCACAAGAATCACTAAATAACTATACCCAAGACAAACAGTTGTGTTTACCAACTTTAATAACTGAAAATATACAGTATAGATTATTTTTCTTGAGTTTTTTCTTGGCCGTCTTCCGGTGGTTTAGAGGAAAATCTCTGCATTAATGTTTTCCACAAACCCTTCTTCTCTTCATCCATTTGTTGCACACTTCCTATAAAAAACATGTAAAATAAATTAAATAAAAGACCGAATACTGCAATGTGTGTGTGTATTTCCTTGTACATACCAGACAGGAGGACTCTACATTCCTCCACTGTTACGCCTGTGAAACTTGTGTCCCTTACTCGTGGAAACTGAGATTAAAACAACACAATACAATTAGGATTCACATATTTTACTATGAAAAATGCTAGCCACTCACCTTTTGTCTGTATACATTACTGTTTATTCGAGCCAGACTGTCATACATTTGGTCACATTTTTCTGGATCGGTTATCTACGGGAGGAGAAACAAAATAGATCATTTTAAAGAATACCAAAAACCCCCCAATCAAAAACCTAAAGCATCCGACTCATGCAAATAATATCAATAAACATGACATCATTATTTTAAACTGTAGCAAACGTGTTCAATGGAGAAGATAAATGAAATAGTAGGCAGACGCAAAAAACATCTAAATAACAAGTAGATATGCACAGATTTATACAATTCAACTAATTCTTTATTAAGGACACAGACAAAACTGGTTTATAGATTAAAAACAAAAGGTATACAATAAAACTAAAACCAGGTGTACAGGCAGGACCTCCAATGCCTCCATATGGCAGAGGAGACCCTAACAGAGCTCCTCCTAAGACAGACCAGAGCTTGGATGTTCTGATGTGACAGACTCTTGGCTCTGCACATAAAAGATACAATATCTGATGGAGACAACACATGACCTTGCACCACAATTTACAAAAATTTCACTGGCACTACCTGAACACTTTCGCTAACTCTGCATACTCTTTCTTATATCTAAACCAGAGCTGTGCAGTTTACAAGGGCGAATAGAAAGCCTAAAAATATTAACTTTAACATCTCTAGAGCATATGTGAAACTTCCAAGCAAGCATATTAGCCTGGCCATATAGTTTGCACTGCTGTAAATACATGTTTTTTGTCAGAGAGGTCAGAAGTTATGTAGTGTCCAAGATACTTTATCTCCTCTGTGGGTTGGAGAGTATCACAACAGAAGGAAGTCAGGGAACATGTTTTATGCTCCTTAGCTTTTACAATCATGATTTGACTTTTAGAGGCATTGTACTTAATGTCATGCTCTATGCCAAATTGGGAACAGATATATAACAGCTGCTGTAGGCCTGCACTGTAAGGACATAACAGTACAAGGTCATCTGCATACATTAAGCGGTTACACAGGTGACTGCCAACAACACATCCAGTTTTACACTGATTTAGCTGCAGAGACAGGTCATCAATATAAACATTAAACCGAAGAGGGGACAAAATTCCATTGCTAACCCTGAATGAGTCAGAAATGGAATCGCCCCACCTGACCTGCATGGACTGGCAGGAGTACCAGAATGCAAGTATTCAGGAAAACGCTTTACCAATTTTTGGAACAATGTTCCATGGTTAAATTAATCAAACGCGTCCAGAAAACACATGAACGTAGATGATCCCTGAAAGTTATGTAAATGTATGAGCCACATTATCACAGTTGACTCTGAAAAAAAATATGCATATATCGCTGATATTCTTACAGAGTACACAGATGTAATTGTGATGAAATTGTGGGTCGAACCCAGCAAGGGCACACAGAAGTGCTAGCAATGGCTGTTTGTTTTGCAACGCATTTTCTTAAATAGAATACCTGTGTACTTTCCCCCTCTCGAAACGCAACGGCCACCTTCTGTCTTAAAAAAGTTCCCAAATCCCGTGCCTTTTTGCTTTCATCTCTGGGCCATTCTTCACACAATTTAAGAAATCGACGATATCGCGTAGCTGACATTTCCGACACGGGCAAAAGCGAAACAGCTTAAAATTGAGTTATGGTGGCCACCGTACGTGTGCAACCTTAAATGTGTTCCCCTCATAGACTGTTCCCCTCTACGGTCATCGCATGAACATAATTGCCAACATGAGCACACCGGGCACCAGCAAACCTTCTCCCGCCTCCGGCCCTTCTAGCGTGACTCAGTGGGTCACCTCCGCTTGTCGATTTGCTACCGACAGAAATGATTTTAGAAGGTAAGTTCTTCGTCTGTCAAACGCAAAACTACGATGCTTGAATTTCGCTAAAGATCTCACGACATGCTTTGCTAATCACATTTGCCCTTGCAATAATAACTCTATGTATGTATGTATGTAATATGTGTGTGTGTGATATATATATATATATATATATATATATATATATATATATATATATTATTATTTCTACACACACAAAGTATTTATTATTATGTGTGCTAAAACTTCATATTTGTAATAGTTAACAATTATGTTTCAGGAATCTTTTGGTGAATCTTGGTTTATTTGCTGCTGGAGTTTGGGTGGCTCGAAATCTTTCAGATTTTGATTTGATGTCTCCTCAACCTGTGACATAGCCTTGATTGCTACACAAATAGGTAAAGAATGCCAAGAAATACAATCAACTAATTCTATTGATTTACATTTAATCCTGTTTTTTCACTCAACAGGTAAAGAGGGACCAAGGATGCCGCACTTCCCTCTGATTGGTCATTATTTACATAAATCGAACTTTAAATCGTGTCATTTATGTACACTACTTTTCTTTTGTTCTTAACCTTTTGATGCAAAACATTATGACTACAAATGAAGTTATTATGGCTGCAACTCAGAAATGTTTATCAGTAAGAAAAAAATGTCTATCTTTTTTGAAAAGTCTTGACTTGTTTACTAACGTGTTGGCTGTTGAATCAGGATTAAAACCGTGTCTCCTTTATGATGCCAATTCTGCGAATTCAGAGCAGGTTCAGTGTTACTTAAGATCGCTGCAGTCCTCACAGATTATCTCAAAATCACTGTTCACATTAGATTTAAGTGGCAACACCCTGATTGTAAACAAAGAGTCTGCGTTATTACATGTGAATGAAATATTAAGTTGTAGCAGTGTCGGTGTAATCGACGTATGTCACTCCCTAAAATCACCTGTTTTATATGACTCGTCCCGAGGAGAGTTTAAGAACATGATGAAAAAACTTATACTTATCATTCAAGGATTTGAACATGATAATCCTGAACCACTGTTTGTTGGAGAACTGTGTAAAGAATGGAATCTGTGTACGGTATTTGGTGCATTACTGGGCTATCCAGTTACATACTGGTTTGATCAGAACAAAAGCTTTGAAAACTGTCTCTCTATGACTCCTTTGATGATAAACACAGTTTCAGCAGTGTGGAAAACGGATGCATTTAGTCACACATCTTGTCTGTACTCCTTCAGCATTCCAGTGGATCTTCATCAAAAGTTACCATCCATCCTTAAGCTTTGGAATAATCATCTTCAGGAGCAATTTGATAAGCAACATGTCTTCACCGATCTCACTATTTCTGAATCAACAGTAACATTGTCATCAGTTTGTCTTTGAGCTTGTAAAAATGTCTTGCCATATTGACTAATTAGGATAGGATAGTGTTTCCTGTGTTAAATGCAATAAATGATGCAACAATTAACATTTGAAAGTCCTAATAATGTGTCTCCAGTGTCCACCAGCAGGCTACTGATCTCATTTGGCAGTTTATATGATTAATGTTTGATTTATTCTAAAGATCACATATATGGCCACATTTTAAATTTGTTTGTAGAGCAGAGTATATATATAGAACAACTCACTCATACTCTGAAGAAAAATGAAGTCTTAAAAAGTTCACAGGAAGAGTGCAAAATACATACTGTTCCTTTATTATATAAGGAATGCTTAGTGCCTAAGGTAAATTCATATTTTGTAATATATACTGTGCATATTTATTGAGCCCGCTCAAGCTGCAAGAACAACGCTTACGCAACTTATGAAGTAGTATTTGGCGGTTATGTACTTAATTCCAAGAAACTACAATGTATATGTCTATCCTAAAACTTATTTTGAAAATCTGAGTAATTATATTGAGGAATATACAATATATCTTAATTGGAATTGCAAGTAAATAACATGGAAAAAATATATGTAAAGTGGAAGTTTCCCTTGTTATCAGTACAAGCAAAATCTCAGTGTAAATATTTGTACAGGCCATTACAATATCACAAGACAGTTTTAGTAGTTATTTTAGTGATTCAAATATTTATGGAAAACACAACAATGTCTATACAAGATTTCATTAGCCCCAAGGTCTGGTTAATTCTACTGGGAACACAGTGCCACAATCAGTAACTGTTCTACGCAAGACCCTTCCCCCACATAGTTAAATAGTTTTCCCGGACTGAAAATTTTACATTTGTCATGTCATTTTCTGCCTCTTTATTAGTCCATTTCTGGGTCGGGGGGGCGGCACTCAGAGCTGCCACCTAAGTCTCAAAGCACCAGTCCCTCGCTGATCCACCTGCAGGTGGTGGGTTCACAGGAAGATGGCTTTGCTGGCATCAAAGACATGGCCTTGGTCTTTCAGGCAATATGGGGTTAAGTGGCTTGCTCGGGCACACAACAGCAGTCTACTGAGCTACTGTGTTCCATTTGACAAATCATACTGACTTTATCATAATAAAATTGTGACATTTTGTAACCAGTTAATAATCAATGTGAGGACAGGTAGGCCAAGTCCACTCGCATCACAAAGTCTGAATGAGCGATAACACATCTCCACAGCGGCCGCTGACTTTTATCTGAGCCAGGTGATCAGCTCTTGTTGATCCAATGTTGATAATGGCAACAGGAATTTTTCTGTCATTTGCAGCTAATAAAAATCTGTAACCAGAGTAAACCTAAAACAAAAGAATGAGTGTTAGAATGAGTGTTTTAAAAAAACATACAGTACTTACATACTGTCCCTTTTAATAGTCCGGTACTCAACTAATACTAAACTCAGTTTTTAAAAAAAAACCCTTTTCATTAATTTTATCTGGCGGACTATCAAAAGAGACAGTATGTAAGTATGTATTAATTTGGAAAAAAACATGCATATTTTTTCTGTTCCCAGACACAAACTAATAAATGGCCTTTTGGAATGAAAATAGTAATGCTGATAGTTTACATGTGCACAGTAATTATGAATTCTACATACATACCTGCAAGGAAGAGCCGACAACAAGCACAGCATCTGACTCTGCCAGTTTTTCATGAACAAACTGCACTTTGGGTTTGCTCACGCTGTCACCAAAAAATGTAACATGTGGCTTGAGTATTCCCCCACAGTGACCACATGGAGGCACTCTGAAATTCAGAACCTGCTCATCCTCTAAAAACACATCTCCGTCAGGTGCCACTGCTCCTGCATGTGCTGTCCATTCTGGGTTAAGATTTTCAAAACGCCTTTGAAGATCTTCTCGGCCAGAAATGTTACTACAGCCAAGACAGATCACTCTGAAACACAGACATACTGTAAGTTTAACATTTCTCACACTGTGTCAAACTGATTACGGAACAGAAAACTAATCATTTGGTCAAAAGCATTCTAAAGTGTCAACAGAAAGTACAAATAAAAAACAAAGATCCAAAAAATGAGCTATGTACAAACATTGATGTTGGCATCCATGTCTTTTTCTTCTTCTTTAAAATAAACTATCCCCATCAATATCCATCATGGCATTATGCAAAAACTTCCAAAACACCCTAATGATAATTAGCACATACTGTACGTATCAACACGTACCCTCTGTTTATTTGCTAAATCAAACCGACCTGACATGACTTTCACAGAAAACAGCCATAGATCTATTATCAGTTCATAGACCTCCTAACATTCACAAACATAAGTGACACTTGTATGAAACACCTTATGATGTCATATTTATAAATTACACCTATGCACAATTATTATATTTAACAATTCATATACATCTAATTCATATTTATAAATATTTGTTCAGCTGCACTATGTGTTAATGTACCTGTGAATACATCCATGCAGCTCAGTCAGTCTCCTTTGTCCTGCCTTGGAGTGAAGAGCATCAACATTTTGTGTGACCAGCCAGTGCAGCTTGCTTCTTTGCTCCCACTGTTGCAAAGCCTTGTGTGCAGTATTGGGCTGATGTGAGGAGAACTGGGGCCACCCAACAAAGTTTCTGGCCCAATATCTTTGACGAGACTTGGCACTGCGTACAAACTCCATATGGTCCATGGGGCGTCGCGTGGTACGTGCATACAGCCCCACTTTCTCAGAGCGATAGTCGGGAATGCCGGACTCAGTGGATAGTCCTGCTCCGGTCAGGACAAACAGGTGTCTGGCCCGGGACACAAAGTCCTGCAGCTGCTCCACATACTGCACATCTGTGGAACTGACAGGAGGCACGAAGTGCAGCACACCTGAGCACAAGGTCCTGCTTCCACCGGCTGTGTTCAGGGCAAACGTTCGCAACAGCAGTCTCATCTAGAAAAACAAGATGCAGATTACAGAATTTACCTGTTTTTATTGTTCTATAAATATTGGACTATTGGAGTTTTCTGATAGGTGTCCAGCTACATGTAATTTCTTGGAATGTCAAGATATGCAATGAAATGTAACTAAATGTAAACTGCAGGTCATATCCATGAAGATGCAATTATTGTCATTTTTGGATTTTTTTTTTTTTTTTAAAGAATACCAGCAATTTCTTGGTTAAATTGCATTTATTAGCAGGACTAAATCAAAGAGATAAAAAAGTGGCAGACCCTGTCAGAAAGTTACATCATGCAGCTATGTTTAATCCTTAATACCACAGTGCACAGTATAGACAGTACAATGTACAGTTCATCAAAAGCGTTCACCTGCACATCCCTTGATACTATTCTGGTTATATTTAGACACCTGTCATTACATTACACACGAGGGCGACTGTGCTTAAGAATAAGTTATAATCAGCAGAGGAAAGCTTGTGGAAAACATTACGTTAACGTTAGTTGTAGCCTATTGTATTCTACTTTGACAACATGTAATTGTGGAGACAGTACAAACCTTTCCAACGTATGGCGATATTCTCGTCTCCGTTTCAAGATCATAGGCGGCCACAGTAAGTCACAAAGTGTAATAAATACATAGTTGAATAACAAGGTTGTTTCCCCGGAACGTCCGAAGACAGCGCGAAAGGAAGTACTCAATTTACTGATACACCAAGCCAAAGTGCATACTGGGACTTGTAGTCATTTTGAATATACATCGCATTACAATAATAATAATTACAACAATACAAAACAATAACATAAACAGTACCATTTTGAATAAATGTATTGTTTAATCATAATCTGTGGCTTTTAAGTAATTCGTGAAATCCTCTTCAATGCCCCTTAAAAGATGCTGCATATGTCCTTTCCACACAACTCCAGAAGATCTGTCATGAGATTACACACAAACATAACTAATATTGTTTCCATTATTGCACTGCATTTGTTACTGACCTGAATGCGTGCAGTTGAAGACAGTTTCTGCATGTTGGTAAAACTCCTCCCCAAGAATTGAGCGATAGTCTTTGTGACTTGTGTGGACGAAACACTTAGTAGCATCTTTAAACAACAAGTCACTCTCTGTATACTGATGCGATTCAAATATCTTAAACGTGGTGTCAGGATTGGCGGCAAGAGCTTCCTTAAAAAAAAAAAAAAAAAAACATCAGCAATGGGACAGAATAAAAGATTGTTTTATTATAAAATGAGGTCATGGCAAAGACAATAAACAGACACATATTCATATATTTTTAATACATTTTGTCTTCATCAAATGAATACGAATAATATGAAGATGGACAAGAGAGCATGCTTACCTGGGACTTCATAAGAAAGTCGTAAACTCGAGCAGTGAGGACTGGTCGGGTCATCACAGTGTTTGGAGGGATCGCGCCCAGGTTACAGGTTTCCCATTCTGACAAAGGGGCACGGTGGCCCTCAACACATAACAATTCAAAGTCTGCAAAAGTCCATCCTTGGGCCCAGCTACTGGAGCTCAAACCAACAGAACAGAATTGACTAAATAAGTTTCAATAAAATTGAAATCTGTAGATATTAGTAAATTAAGTGTATTACTGAGAATATTGGCTTGGAGATTGTGCTGCTCAAGAAAAGCGACTTCGCCATAACTCTTTCCTGTGGGATCACCGACCAAGCATCTAGAAATAGTGTAACAGTGTAACAAGTGTAACAGATATATATCATAGAAGTACAACTTAAAAGTGCCATACTTTTTGTAATGTGATGATGACCCCTGAACTATTGTAAGTTTTTAATGGTAATAGAACCCCTCCTATGGGCCAATCACAGCTCCAAGAATCATTTTATGTGCCACTTTTCCCTTTTTGTATTGATAAGTATAGTAATAATTAGTCCAAACTGTCAAAGTAAAAAGATCCTATTATCTCCTTTGTCAGGAAAGCATCTTTATATGCTCTCAGAACTTTGATTTAGTTTAGTGGTCCTTTGTGGCATTTGACATATGACAGTCCCCATGCATTCCAGTGGAAAGATGACTCTAACAAAGATCATTGCACGTACCTTAAAGCGCCCATATTTCCATAATAACGTTCGTTGTGGTTATCAGCACAGCGTTTGGAGGGAGCGTCTTCAGTGCCTCCCATACACACTTTGCATAAGTTTCCCTCAGAGCCTGGAAGGCATCCTTTCCAAAACACCTCATTATACACTACAAAAACAAGTGTGCAAGTTACATTGAAAATGGCTTGGACAAAGAAGTTCCGAGACTCCTTTATGTAATTTTTCATCTATTTAAAATTACTTCTAATAATATTTATGGACACTGCATTTCAGTGAAAGTTTATGAGAAAAATCAAACCTTGGTCAGGATTGCAGGGTGAGGAGGTGTTGTGCTCCAGGCTCAGGGTGAATTGATGAGGCAGTAGCCACCCTGCAGGACTGTACATGTAACTGTGACAGGAGCGACGGCTGCCTAAGTTACCAATGAAAATGCTTCTACTGGCTCTTTTCGCTAGTGCTACACCCACAATCGATGGCAGGACTGTAACACAATAGAACTAATGAATCTCTGCTTCCACCACCATGTTTTCATCATTTATCTCATTTCACCATCAGTCTCCAGATGTGTAGATCCTTCGACTGCAGACAAACATTTTGCACCTGGAAAAGATCATTTAATCCTTTAATACTGTGGATCTTTAACATGGATAATACTACCAATTATTCTGTAATAATTACTTATCCCATAGTTCTAAAACACTAACCTAAAGCTGAATAAAATAAATCAAAATTACTAAAATTCAATTCACAAATGTATGATTACATGTCCAAAGTATATAGATAGTAATAATAATGAATCTTAAATGATTGCTTACCATAATACTCGGTGACAACAGGGACAAGGCCACATTTTCCTGCAATAAATGTGTGCGTGGCATCCAGTGAAGCAGCATCAACCTCATCTCTCTGAAAGATACAATGTTTGAAAAATCCTTGTATTTGATGAAATTATAACATTTGGAACTCCACCAACTGGCCCATAAATTAAAGCTGGGTACAAAACTTGTTCTAAATAATAAATTGTTTTTCTGTCTTGGGAAAACAAAAGTAAAATCACACAATGTGAAATGTCATCATCTTGTTAGAAACTAAACTAGTGACAGAACCAAACTGTGTTGAGAGTAAGGAACTGGTAAAATGGGTTCATTCATCAAATATAGCTATGAAGCATAAAAAGTAGACAAAGAAGGTTTCCTGAACCTGAATTACAATAATGGAAGTCAGTAGATGAGATCTTGGGTGAGGGGATTGTCCAGCCACTCCCCATCCTTTTTTTCTTGAAATACATAGCTACGACGTTTATTTGATCATATTGTGCCACAAAGTACTTACCTTGATCTTTTCAACACAGTGTGCCATCGAAGCTGCCCGAACACACACCAGAGGGTCTGACTTGATGCTGAGAGCCCATTGTTCGCATTTGGTCTGCTCTGCTTGACTGATACAGCACCATCGGATCACACTGTCATCCAGAGAGCTCCCTATGTACACACACATATATTTATATTTATCAGGCCTTATTTTCTCAAAAGAGCTGCTCCTCAGGTCAAGTTGACATCCACATACCAATGAGTATATTAAGCACCTTCATGTCCTAGTCCTTTGAGGAGAGCGACATAGTCGAGTCCCAGCACCTGGCTGATGTCCTCGTCCACTGTGAGAATAGCCAGTTTATCTGTGACGTCTTTGAACAGAAGATCATTCTCCCCAAACGCAGATGAGTTAAAGAGTTGGAACCGAAGCCTTTCTTTTCCTTTTGGTCCGAACTGCGCCTGTAGCCAGAATATTATGATCATTATTGCTTGGGCTGCGAGAATAAATTTAACTTGAATGTCCTTAACAGGCCAACACATTTGTATAGAATTTTGAGGTTTCTCTAAAGTTTACTTTTAATCTATCCGTGTTACAATATCTAGCAAATTCAAACATAATATTATCAATGAATGAATGCATGTTTTAATTACATGAAATAGAAAATGCCAAGATAATACATTTACTTGAATTATTTGTATAAATTTCCTGGCGATCTTGCGGAGGTTGGGGCGCGTCACCAGTGCTCCTCCGGGACCTCGGCCCAGATTACAGGACCTGTATAGACTCAGAGGGGCCTGAGTCCCATCTGTGCACAAGAGCCTGAACTCGTCCCACTCACTCTCTAATAAGAATACATACATTAGGACAAACGTGTAACAAAGTAAGTTAAATCTAAAAAAGACAAGACCAAAGATTTCTGTTGAGGATTCATGGGTTAATTGGTAATCATGTCTATTTCAAGTAACAATATATAACATTGATATTTTTCTACATATGTAAAGTCTAATATAAATACCATGCATTGGTAATAGTATTAGTATTATTAAATAGATAAATATGCATATACTAATTGCAATATAACTCAAATTCAAATGTTGTAATTTTATTACCATTTAGAAAACTTCGGTGACCAGCACAATATCATAGCTACTGCAACTCACATACTTTATGAGTATTAATGTATTGGACACAGGGAATGAAAAGTTGTTACCATGAAGACAACAATAATTGAAACACTATTTGAGATGACATCCCTATTTCTATGACAACTGTTCTCATAAATTACCTTCAATACTTTGCAAGGCTAAATGGTCAACAAACGCCACATCTCCTGCTCCACTCCTGAGACATCTGTAAGGTTTATATATAATGTAATGTGAATCAATATAAGTCGTTGGAGGGGGTCCGCAGACTCAGTATGTAGACCAACCTGAGAGCACCCTGGCTGTTGTAGAAAGGTTCACTGTGGGACGTTTCACAGTGATAATTCTTGTTTCGAATATAGGACTTTTGGCCCTGGCACAGAGAGCACAGAGAGGGCGCCATGGCAGCAGCTCCAGGAACACAGCTGGAGTTGAAAAATGCACTGACATCTGAATACACAGAACCCAGAAATCAGAAAAGAATTAGTAAAAACTTATTCATCAGCTGCATCATCAGCTGGAAAATCTCTCACAAAACTGTAAACCTTGGCTGAGAGGCTGCTCCTTAGACCAGCTCAGGTAGTTGCGGGACAAGAGGAAGCCCAGAGGGAGACTCCACCCTGCAGTCCATCGCGCCCCACTGTGACAGCTGCGAACCCCCTCCAATGACCGGACATCCAAGCTGCTGTTCCTCACCACCGCCACGGACAGAATGCACCCCCCTAACAGACAGTACCGCTAATTACAAAAATCCTGTTTGTATCATGATGGGAGCAAAACACAAAAAGAACCAAGAGATCTCACCGTCGTTGTATATTTCTTTGGCTACAGCCACTAGGCCGAACTGCTTCACCGCGGAGTAAACTTCACCTGCATCCAGGGTCACTATGTCTGCACGATTAGCCTGCCAAATAATAGTTTTAATATATACACAGAACAGTGAATGACAGCTACTTTGTGGATATAACTTTCAAATGCATGCTCACCCACAGCTTCCTTAAATGAACAAAATTAATAAGAAAATTCTTGATTGACTAGCAAGCACTCTCCCAATTGGTTTACTTAACCAATAAAGTAATAAAGATTACTACTACTACTACTACTTACTTATTCTCCTTCAGCATTTCTTATTGTGATGTTTAGGGTTAGGGGTGGGACTATTGTTTTTTTCTTAATTATGCATTTTCCGAGACTAAAACAGGCTACATCTAGGTAAATTCTAAATACCTATACAGTTAATAAGCATAAATAAAAGAAAAAAAAGAAACCTCGTTATCTCCTCACCCGGATCCTCTCGATGCAGTCTGTTGTACTGGAGGCGAGGATGCAGGAGAGTCGAGCGAAAGCTGTCACTTCTGCGGGAGGTAAAACTGCAACAAGAGCTTTGGCCAGTTCAGCACACTTTCTCTGCTCCGGCTCCGACACTGTGCACCAACGCATCTTCTTGGCTGAAACAAAAGGCCAGTTGCTGAGAAGTCTGAATAAGGGATGTAAGAAATGTTCAATACTACAAGTTTTGTTCAGTGATTAGTGCTGGCAAGAGTGATCATCGGGTCAAATGTCATGTCAGTCTCCAGGTCAAATTTAGCTAAAAAGGTTTGCGTATTTGGAGTAACTTTTGAGTATCTGGAGGATTGCTATGTAAAACTAATGCATACATTCTTTTAAAAAAGCAATACAATTCAAATAAATATATAAATAATTTTTATTATTTGTGCTACATTACACAAATAGAACCATGAAAACAGCCAATAACAGCATTATCAAATAACTTAGAAACAACTGAACTCACCATAGATGTGTAAAAGAAAGACTGTCAAAAGCAAAATAGTAAAGAGTCCTTGCATTTTGGCTACAGAGCAGTCTAACGTCTTCTGCGTAGACTTCAAACTTTAGAACTGCAAAAGACACTCGTTCAAAGAAAATTGATACTCTATTGCGTAAGGCCAAGCACCTCATGGCACACATGTGGAAAGTATTTCAAGGAAGCTGCTACAGGCACTGCCCACATTTGCAGTTTCAGTCAATTTAAGGTTGATGTAAAAAAAAGGAAAAAGGGCTTTCTTATCTAGTTACAATAAATAATACAACACAATTAAAATAAGTTGTCAAAATCCTTTGTAATTCTTCTAAATGTCTCGGTATAGTTTTCATTTTGCGTTGGTGCCACAAGAGGCCTGGAGATGTTGAATCCTCTCAACATGTCGGACTATCGTAGGCTTCTGTTCTGATAGTTTTGTGGTGAGCTTGTCGATACAGTTCTTCAGCTGCAAAAGTAGATTAGACAAAGGAAATAAATGTTAATAATTCATAAAAATACAAATTAAATAAACTAGACACACATGTTATGCAACAAAACATTAGCATGATTGCATTTTCTACAGGCAGAGATTACACAAATAATCAATTTTCTTACCTCTTCCAATTCCTTTGAAACAGAGTCTGTTTCAGCGTGGTTGTCCTGTCCACTGGTCTGGAGCCAAGTCTCAAGCACATCTCTTAACATGCACCATGCCCTGAACACAAAGTCATAATTGCAACATAAAACATACATTTTCCTTTTGGCCTACATTCAATTAGAAAAACTCACCGCAGCTGCTTTTTGTCCTGTTGGTAAAGTGTCATGTCTTGTTTAATGCCCAACAGTTCGTTTGTTAGTTCAATCACTGGATCTATGGTGAAAGCACAAACAGGTTTATTCAGACACACGCTGAAAACCTTCATATTCACATTATAGATTTGAGTCCAGGCTAGGGGTGGGAACCTAAGGGTACCTCACGATACGATACAATACACGATACAAAGCTCACGATAACGATAATATCGCGATAACGATACCACGATAAGTATTGCGATATATCGTCACACCCCTAGTCATGGCTTTAATTTACTTAGAAAAGTGGCTTCGCAATATTAAAACAAAAGGCAGGAAGTAACATCAGCTAATAAATGACTTGTCTTTAAAATGAACCAAGACACAAGAATTTTCTTTTTTAATGGGACATTAAATTTAATGACACACATAACTGGATAACTCATTGATATTACCTCTAGAATTTATAACAGGTTGACCGGATTGTTCAAAAGAAGGTTCTTCGGGAGTGATCTTAACATAAAAAAAAAATTGTCAACCAAAATTTTTATTGAAGACATGTTATGTTTACAAAGCAAGTTAATGAGGAAATCATACTGCTGTCATGAAGGCTGAAGGGGGCAGAAGGAGCGTTTGGTTTGGGGTTGACTCCGCAGGGAGGGAAGCAGCAACGTCAAAACTGAGACTTTGTGATTGTGAAGCTTCTGTGAAACTGAGGAAAACATTGAGTAATATTTCAAATGGTTGTTGTCATACAAACATTGTCCAATTATATGCTCAGATATGGTTTAATATTCAACCAACCAGAACAATTAGCAAATTACCAGAATTAAACAAAGGTATATATTTTAAACATAAACTGTGTGTCACCCAAGAAAACAGACAGTTTGTGTATGCTGCAGGCTCTGCAGCTCATTAGCTGGACTCTAAGCTTCTGGATCTCAGCCTGTCCTAAGCTAAAATGATCCACTTTTGCATGATTTCATAAAACAGTCAAAGATACATACAATGTACTTTCATAACACTTTAAACCACATCCTGAATTATTCAAAATTATTCTATAAATAATTATACATTATTTCTTGTACCTTCCCAAAATCACAGTTCTTGGAGATTTCAGAAGTTCCTCAGAGCACCGAGGCTGACGTCGAGGCGTGCGAGTGTACAGCCTGTAGGACACAATATTCAGATATTCTTAAAGATGTAAACAATGCAGTGAATTCACCATAAACTCACCTCTCCATGAGAGCGTGATCCTCTTCTGCCTGAGACTCACATGGGACTTCAGGCAGAAAGAACACAACGCTTTTTTTGACATGTTCAACCTTGACTTCTTTCTCTTTTTTACAAAAGGTTTTACGTTTCCATTTCAGGGCACAGCGCCGGACTACTCTCTGGAGACGTCTTGCACGCTGAAATAAATATAATCAAATCATAAATTACTATCACAATGAAATATGCATGCCGTTTCATTTTCATTTGATCATTTCAAACTGATCATGTGATCATAAATTATACAGTCAAATCTTCTTTTTCCTGTTCCGTGAAATGCATGATTGAAATTTCAATGATAAATTCTAGCTGCATCGTACTTGTTCCTGTGTGTGTTGAGTGAGGCTGGTGGTCAGGTCGTCCATCTGAGCTGCATATGTCAGTATACGGGACACGCCCTCTCGGAGCAGATTGTCTCTGTAAAACTGAGCTGCTTTGGCCACTTCCTCTCGCTCCCTGTGCTGTTCAGCCGCATACACTCTCCATGCACTCAGCACCTGAACCACATTCATAATAAGTTAAGCCATGAAAAAAATAACATTTCAGGATCGTCAAATCAAAAACATAATCTTGTTTCCACATAAAAAGTAGAAAAAGTCACACAAAGGTCAATTGGAAAAAGGCCAGTAGATACAGGTTACAGGTTAACATTAGACCAATCTCTCATGTTGCAGATTGATAATGATCTCTAGGCCCTTCAGACTAATTATTATGTAGAAAAATGAGCAACTTTTGGTTTGAATTTAACCCAAAATACATAAGTAAAAGTGTTCAAATCAGTACATATGTAATGTTTGTAACTGCTACTGAGCTTTCTTTTGACACTGCTATTCTTTAATTTTCACTGTCCAAAGTCCAGTTTGAAGAGTAGGGTGACCTCTGAAAGCTCTGCGTGCGTGCGTGCGTGCGTGCGTGCGTGCGTGTGTGTGTGTGTATATATATATATTTTGTTACACCATACTGTAACTGCATTTATTTCACTACTGCTACTTGTGTTATGTTATTTTTGAGAACCCTCTCGAATACAAGAAGATGGGTCTTAAATCGGCAATTCCTCATAACAAATATGTTACAGATATACATCTCAATTGATTATCGTTTGAACAACCTTTGGAGGCCCCACTGCAAAGGCTCTGAGGCCCCAGAAGGAAAGCGATTTGAGATTTGAGAATGATATTTTTTCTATTTAAAATATCCTCATGTCACACTTGCAGTGCAGATCTTCAATCTAAAGCAAAAACTGTAAAACCAATTGGAAAGAATTGGAAAAAAAAATATGTAATGTTTGATAAGTGGAAAAGCACCTGTATGATTCCAATGAAAATCAATATGATTAAAGATTCTGTGTTGAATTATACACCATGTGATACTGTGAAATTATATTGTCAGGAACATTTGTATATTAAAAACAGTAGGATGTCCATTTCCAAGACAAAAGGCAAGTTGTGGAGATTCTAGCTTTCTCTCATATTTTTGAAACATTATATCATATGAAGACATGTTTTAAAATATGTATGTAATAAAATATATATACTGGAGCTAAGCAGAGAATGATTTGACCAGATATATTTTACGAGAGGCAGAACATTTTTGTTTTGTTACCTTGGCTTGAAGAGAGAGCGACCAGTGCCAGAGAGCACTCTCTGTCAGCCTTCTCTCCCTGCGTCTGTGCTGCAGCTGTAGCATGGAAAAGACAAGCGTGAAATGTCTGACTTGTGAAGCTTTATGAATTTTATTGTAATTTCCCCACAGTGGGACTAATAAAAGGTTAAAAATGCTAAGTTGAAATTCTTTAAACAAACACTATACTATGGTACATATCTAGCCACAGTTCATAACTGTGAGTGCAAGTGAACAACAAATATTTCGAAAAATATCTATATATTGTTTTGTTTTTCTAATTCAGTTTCAATGTAACATGATTTTAAGGTATGGCGGTAAGGTAGTGACAATACATTGCTTTTATATTGTGGTTTTCAAAAGAACTAAAAGAGTACAAAGAATGGAAAGTAAGTAAAATACACCTTAATTTTCCATTGATCAAAGTAAGTCTGCCATATCTTCAATCTCAGCAATAAGCTGGCTTGTCGTTTCATCACCTACACCAGGAGAAATATGTAACAACAATAATGAATAAAACTTCAAAAACCTTGAAAAAAACAATACCTTATTATTCTGAAAATGGCGGTGGTGATCTTCCCAACATCTAAAGGTCTTGGTGAGAACAGAAGTGTCATGGTACCTCTCGGCTCTTTGCATGTGGAGTCGCACCATTTGACATGTTTTTGTTTGCAGACGCCACTTGTTGAATAAGTAGGTTAATTTCCCTAAACAACAATGAAGAGTATTATCATTTATATTACTCATACCATACATTTTTAAAACGTTGAAACCTTTCTTTATGGATTCCCGTGCATGGCTTAGAGCTGCCATCTGCTGGTGATGCTTGGTCACTGCAAATACAGTTCTCTCTCTCCAAGCACTGAACATCTGAAATAGTGTGAACAAAATAGGAGTTAGTCATGGCTGAAAGCATTCTAAATTAATAATAATTTAAACAGAAGAATACGGGTTGAAAACCTTAAGATGAAGGACATGTCGATGGTGATTTTGTGCCATTTGCTTCTTGATTCTAAACTTGGCAGAATCAGCTCCATTCTCCTGCCACATCTCCAGCACTCGCCTGGACAATGGAGGTGTCAAAATGAGACATTCAATTTGCTATTCATTTGAATAGCATTCAAATCTGGGCATGTTCATCACAGTAATAATTCTTAAGATATGTATAAGCACTGATGAGTCAAAAACAAGCACAGTTGAAGTGGTTAATACCTAAGGGACTTGAGTGTCTGTTGTTTGTAAAGTTCCTCTGCTTTGACATATACAGATTGCATCTGGAGATGATGTTTCTAACAGACAAAATCACATCTTTAGTTGTGAGTTTAATCTATATTTTTTAAATGTGAATTACCTTCCACGTCGCAAAGAAGTGTTTAAGAATCTGTTTCTCATGGTACAGCAGCATTTCTTCTGCTTTTTGTTTCTTGACTTTTTGCTTCAGGACAAACTGATAATAGACACCAAACAGTGAGAGGCTCATCAATGTCCAGTAGATAACTCTTTAATGAAAACAACCTCTACAGATACAGATAGTTACCTTTTTCCATTTGTCCACAGTCCATCTGAGGATGCACAGATCGCCTTGGAGGTAAGCTTGAAGCTCTCTGCTTCTCCTGAAATACAGAGATGATTTCCCTCTGCTAAACAAAATGTTTCATAAATAATATTTTCTCACCTATATCTCAGCTCAGCAGTGTTTTCCTTCCATTGTGTCATTGTATTTTGCACTAGTCTTTGTTGATACAGATGTTTTGAAATATCCATCTTATGTTTCTCCTTCATCCTCATCTCTGTTCGTTTCCTCCATAGAATCCAGGCTTTTTGCATTTTCTTTTGTTCCTCATGATATATTGCCTGAATAAAGTTGGAAATTACAAAAATGGGGTCTCACCCTTGCATTTTTAGTTCAACTAACCGTTTCTTCAGCCATCTTCCGTTGTTTATGTTTTTCAGACAATTCCCACCAGGTGTAAAACACCCATGAGTACTGGTGCCGTCTACAATCAGAAATGCCTTTTCAAAATAGGATTTTATAATTCATTTATATTACTCACGTTTGTAAATATAAGTTACCTGTTGAATTCCTCAGCTTGGACTTGTCTTTGTTCTTGAATCGTTTCCTGGACTGTCCAGTTGTGCCATGAATGGAAACAGACTGGAAGTATGCGGTCGGCAAACATAGTATCTGCTTGCTTTTCCAAAGTCTGCACAAAATCAAAACTTTAAGTTGTTCACATTTTCATCATTGAAGAACAATGTGAACGGTTTGTAAACAGTACCCTCATATGTCTTAACTGAGACAACCTCTCTCTCCAGAATCTGAAGCAAGCTCTTGACAGGGAAACACTGTCAATAATAAAACAAAGTGCATCAGAAATAATAACAGAATGACACATTGCTTGGTTACATTTTTTTGTAACCTGTAAAAGGTATCAGCCTTTTCAGTGAGGTACTGAAAACTCCGGTCTTCTACTTCCTCAAGACGGTCCCGCCACAGTCTCCAAAATGTCCCCACAACCTTAAAAAAATAAAAATACAGCATGTAAACAATTGTGTTTGATATGAATTATTTAATGATTGTGACTTCGACTCTTACGGTTTGATGGTGATGTTGTGAAGCCATACTGTAGTTAAGTCTCTTTGATTTATTTAACTTAACATTGCGAGACAAACCTCCAAAAGTCATTTTCTGCTGATGCATAATTATGTTAATATTAAATAATAAGAATATATTGATGTATATTATAGATTATTACCAGTAAAGTGTGCCGATTATGCTCCTGTGCTTTCTGTATATTGTCAGTTTTTTTGTGACAAAGTTTCATATCTTGTTAGAGTTAAGAATGTATTTATACCAATGTACATTTATACCATGACATGTTCATGCTACAGGGCACAGTGAAGATACATATCTGCAAAGCTATGAAGGCATAAGTTTTATAATTTTATATTTTTAGTCGACTTGATAAATTCCTCATTTGGTCGACTAAATAGAAAAAAAAAAAAAGGAAAAAAGGCAACACAAATAAAATAAAATATATAAATCAACAGTAACTTAACTTTTTGGATGCCCTATAAACAAAACAACTTTTTGGAGTTACTTTTAAAAAGTTAGACAGGAAATAAAAACTCTGAATCATATCAGCCTCTCTCACCGCTTTCCCACTTATGTATTTTGCTCACTGTAGAACCATATCTCATAATCACATACGTACAAAGTTCTTTAAAGAATCAACTTATTGCCTAAGATGGATAGAGCGATAAAACTGTAATTATTAAGTCATTATGAAAATGTCAAGCCAGTCACTCAAAACTAAACTGCTTTGACCCCAGAAGATCATTATATACACTTGATTAAAAGATACAAGCTTTCCATCTGTTGACAACTCTGCGCTGACAGATTCGAACAGCCAAATGCCCAGCAGCTTCCAAGGTCACCTCTTCACTCCATTTCTCATACAACGCTTTAGACCATTTTGTCCAGTACACTCTAAGAAGCCTCAGGCGGAACGTTTTTTGAGCTACAACTAAATAGATGAATACATTTTCAGGTTCACAGCTTTACACAATAATTACCTGAGAAAAGGAATTACCTGCAGATCTGCAAATAGTGTTGCGGCAGGAGACATAAAACATCCACTGTTTAAATGCTTTTCTCCTCAGCCGGGTGGTGTTGTGATGTGAAGCCTTTAACTCATTTAGTCTTTCATGGTATGAAAGAGTGGACAAGTCTCTCCAATGCAGTAAAACCTTGAACACATTTGACGTATATGATGTAATATACCGTGCAATTATCATTCATCAATTTGATTACCTTGCGCTGTGTGGAAGTTCTTTTCTGCTTCAGGACTTCATCTTGCATTACATACAGGTACTGAATACGCTGCAGCTGATGCTTCCATTTTGTCCAAGTAGATCTAATACATCAACCAATAGTAATATCACAGATAAATTATCCCATTTGAGTGTGGGACAGCGTGTATTAGTGCACAGTAGTACTGTAAATACACACACAGTCACACTCACAAACATACCCCTGGTAGGGTTTTCCCTACCATGTTTTAGTGGTGTGTGCAAAACAGAAGGGCCCCCGTCTGGAGGTTGAACCCAGGACCTACTTGTTGAGAAGCACCAGTGCTAACAACTTTGTCAATGTGGTGCTCATTTCATGTCAAAAATTTAAAAAAAGTAGCTATTTTTTTATGTCTATGCAAGGAAAACTGAAAATGATGGAAACATTAGGAGGCTTTGTGTTAGTGATATTAGAGAACAAACAAAGTACTTACTTTAGTGTGGAACATTTGTAAAGCTCAAGGGCAGTGGCAAGATTTCTCTTCTTTATTCTCCTCACTTCTGTATAATTTTCCCAGCATTTCCCAGCATGACGCAAACGTTGTTTGTCAGCTGGTTGAAAATACAATTAAACACATGATGCACGCATTTGGGCGAGAGAAAAAATTGCATGTAAATGTTTATACCAAATGCTTGAGCGTTTTGAGTTTTTATCTTCTTCATTCGTTGTAAAATCACAAAATGTCTCCAACTTTGTAACAACTGGTTACATAGGAAGTATCTGGGGTGACAGAGAACAAACAATAATAATAAGCAATGGTAAAGGTAATAATACTATGGGTTTCTTAGTGCATTTGAACACCCAAAGACACTTTATAGTACACTTTTCATTGACTCCAAATACAGTCTTGGTAAGCAACTAAAATAGCCATAGTGGTGCCTGACCACCACATACACCAAAATAATACTCAGCATTTTGTCCAAGTTTTGACAGTCATGCTGTAGACCAAAGCTGTGATATCTGATATCGCAGCAGTCTCCAGACAATACTTTGAAGAGCTTCTATGATATGATGAGATCAAGCTTTGACAAACAGTTGTATGGCCATAATATTGAACCCTAATAATGAATTGTTTACTCTTGATCAGTGGTCACCCACAAGAACTAAATTACTGTATCCATGTGTTACTGACTTGTGGTGACACTCTGCACGCAGCATCAAACTCCACTCCCTCCTTGATGTCCACCACACATCTTTCCAAGTATCAAATATTCGCTTCAAAGTTGTGTCTTTATAGTGAAACCTGGAACATAAATAATGTAAAACAAAAGAATCACAAGAGAGATCTAGTTTAGTGTCTACAAATACACTTACTTTGCTTTTTGGGAAAGAACTCTTCCAAATGTTTTCTGTTTCCATATCTTCAGAAACTTTCTTGCCAAATGCCTGTTAGTAAAAAAAACGCGAAATATTTAGCAATAGCTACATTTATAGTGCAAACCGTTCCAATTTCGTCACCTTATTCGTAGCTCTTTCAGTCTTCCACCTTTATTCCAATTGTAGCCCACTTTATAAAGGACCTTTCTGGTTTGAACAGTGTTTTTTTGTTTTGACGCAGATTTGACGACACCTGTTCGGTGCCTCAGCTGTCCAGGTTTCTCGGAGGTATTATTGAACATCGTCAACTGTCTGTGCCAAACATTCGTGTCCAAATACGTGTATAAGTGGCTAACACTAATGAACGAAATATTAAGGAATTCGCTTGATTTCAAGATGACACAATCCAAACACCGCGCGTTTGCGTTTCTTCATCACGTGACAATCCTTCTATGGTTGTCAATGGCAACACAAACGTAAACTTTAAACCCAAAGTATTTAGTATTTACCTCGTGAAGTGCGACATTGCGGTATCGAGAGCACGCTGGTCACTATAATACCTGTATTTTCAACACGAAATACGATCCAGACAGATCCAAACAATGTTGGGTCCTTTGAGATTGAGTCGAGCACCCTGGGTAGTCCCGTTTGCAAGCCTGGAGGGACAGGAACATTGATTTTATATATAGATTACTGGGGTAACGTCTATGTGATTAATTTTAAATACACTCAAATACAATTACGGAGACTGGAGTTGCGCATCGACTTCGCCAGTGACTGTGTCAGATAAAAATAAATCCACCATAGACAAATAATTTGTTGCATTATTTTTCACATTTTACCGTATCATTTTTTTAATTGCATATGATTTGCCACATGGCTCCTGTGAGATTACGTGAAATGTTTGCAGAGATTATAAAAATAATTCTACTCAGGCGCGACGAGCACGGCCTAAGCTTTCTCAGGACCTTCTTAAAGCGGTGATCAGAGGAAAAAAAAAATGTTACGACTTAGAAAATAGAGAAAGACCAGACTATTATCAACTATTACACTGTCCTTGTGGAACTAATTTTGCTTTTGGACGTGTGTCCCTTTGTTAAATTGACCAAGTTTTTTTGTGTGTTGGCGAACATTTTGGTACAACTCATTCGGCTTCATATTTACCCGCTGGGTGGGCATTATCCCATTCCCAGCGGTTAGCTGGCTAGCTCTGCTGCTAGGTTAGCTAGCTGGCTAACAAGCTCGACTTGTTGGCATTTGCAACTTCTGTCAAAGAGTTATTGCTGGGTAAGTTTATTACACAATTCTATTGTTTTTATTGCTACTCTTGAATATGTATTTGCAAAGTTTAGGGGTGTTAAACACGGGGCTCTTATTTTGCTAACACAAACTTGGCATAGATGCTAATGGCTATATTAGCATACGAATCATTTCCAAACTAGACTGGTTTTTTTTCTTTACACTTTGTTTTCACTTGACCATTGTTTTTACTTTAATATCGCGTGTCTATTTTCTTTGTCCATATATAAACTCCTTAAGCCTAATTGAAAACTACCTTGGGCTGTTTTCAATTAACCTGATCATTGGCCATTAGCTCTCAATGTTTGTGGCCACCGGTTATTGATGAGTAATTTTATATATTGGTTGAGTAATTTGAACTACGGTGATTTTCTATCTCTTCAAGGACTACGTTGGCGTTTCCTCAAAAGCATTCAGTTCAGTTTTAAAATTTAACCATGGACGGTGAGACTTGTGTGGAGCAGAGGAATGGAGACGCCGCTGTCGACCAAGTCAAGCCAACAGCACCTTTCAGATACACAAAGGTACAAGAGACGTACATTTTAAAATTCCCGTCGACCTTGTGATGTTTAAGATGGCCATCATTTTTTCTAGGAAGAATTGCTAGAAATCAAGGAATTGCCAGTCTCCAACGAAAGGCCCGAATGCCTCTCTGAAAAATATGACAGGTAAGGGCACAGACTATGACTTTTTGTTCTAAATACTTTTATTCCAGTAACAAATGGAGCTTCAATGTTTTTTTTTTTTTTTTTTTTACGTCAATGAGGACCAGACCAGAAATTTACATTCAATTTATAGATTAATATATACTTTCCCCGTAGGAGAAATTCAAGTGTCCAGCAGCAGTACTCGCCCAGGTCTGTTGTACAGTCTTAACAGCGTGTTAGAGTGAAAATGTGTTCTGGAGAAAATGTCAAAGGACACTTTCATTTGAGAATATGGATTGCTGACTATGTTCACTTTCGATAAACCGCTAGACTATCTGTAAGAAGGTGGCCGTAAATCTTAATGTACCGTCTTTTGTTCTCCATGACTAACTCTAATCTATAAGGTCTTTGACTTTTGCACAAAAATCATATTCAAAGTTTAATTTAGATATTCGAATACATTCAAATATTTAATAAATTATTATTCAGCTCCTCACAGTAGCAGTAGAACGCTCCATTGATTTTTAAAGTAATTTCAAAACGTTTTACGTGTATGGACTAATTGCAGTAGTCCGTACACTTCGTCACAACGGGCTTTTGGCGCCTGTCACTACTTCTGTCTGAGCAAGAGAAGCTCTATAAATGCATTTAAATGTTAATTGGATAATATATTATACATTATTAATACACATGCACAGAGGTTCAGAATTAACGTCTTCATGATAATACTGTTTTATTGTGACAAAGTGACCACAGTAAACCAGGAAGTAACGCTTAACATAGCATTTTAAGACACACAGGATCTGATTTATGGATTTAGGTTGTGTTTGTATATGGGTCGATCACTTGTGAATTCTCAAGCTGCGATGACCTCACCACTTACCCGCAGTAGCTGAGAAAAAATGTAACCCAACTAATTCTACGTGTGCGTTGATCAATAGAGATGAGCAATTCTACTTTTGTCCAAACAAAATCGTGCAAAGCTGTATTTTCAGTTTCTATATTTGCTGCTACTGTTAAATACAGAATGAAGTTGGGGCGTTCTTTGCCGTGGCCCGAGGAGGATGTTGAGAAAGTGATTATACTGCTAGGGGTCATGTGTATCATGTTGTAAAGTTCCTCTGTCCCCTACTGGCCTGGCTCTCGAACTATATCGTTTTCCGCGTTGTGTAGACGCTCGGCTGTGCACTTCGAATAAGGAGCCTGGTCATTTTTACAAATTGCTTTGCAGTGTCTCGGTCTAAACGGGGCCTTAGGTGTTCAATGACTTGGAGACACCGGTTTCAGCTCTGTCACCCTGGCCGCCTCGTTTCTCGCCCTCTGCTTCTCATGCTAAGAGAAGGAAAAGAAGTGTTCATCTATTTTGAAAAGTTGCCGAATTTCTACTTTTCTAGCTACAATCTAGTTTTTAAAATATTTTTAAAGCTCTGAAATGTCTTTAATTTTTTTTTAGCAAGTGAACTCTTCATGTAATTGTAGGCTCTTTCTACTGTCCTGTAAGATTCTTAACTAATGTTTTAAACAAATTGGCTGTGTGATTGAAGTTTCCCCCTCCTGAAATCGGCCTAATATTTCAGTATTGCATCAAGCTTTGGCATCTTATTACAGTGATGGTGTCTGGGATCCTGAAAAGTGGCATGCCTCACTGTATCCCTCATCGGAGCGAAGCTCTCCTGTGGAAGGGTTGAAGAAGGATTATGGAGACGATAGAGTTCCTTTAAAACGAAGAATCCCAGGTGATTAGCTGTAAATGTAAAGATGTTCTAATGACATGGTGTGCTTGTTTATAGATCTAAGTAATATTTATTTCTTCAGATCCTCGAGAGCGGATAAAGGAAGATGAACTTGAGGTGGTTCTTAGTCCTCAGCGTCGTAGCTTTGGTGGTGGATGTCAAGGAAATGCTGCGCCACTGTCTCATGTAAGACGGCCAGTCAGCCCCTTGGAAAATAAAGAGAATGAGAGCCTTCGGCTTGGAGGGGCGCGCAGAATTGGCAGTGGACGCATAATTGCAGCACGAACATTTGAGCGAGAACCCCGTATGGAAAAGGAGCGGGAGCGAGACTTTAAAGATAAGAGATTCAGGGTTTGTTCATCAGATTCATTTGTACTTTTAAATGATGTATTCATGGAAGAATACTAAATGGTTTCTTAAACTTTTTTACAGAGAGACTTTGGAGACAAGAGAGTGTTTAATGAGAGGAGGAGAAATGATTCGTATGCAGAAGAGGAGCCAGAATGGTTTTCTGGGGGGCCTACAAGTCAATCTGAGACTATTGAGCTTATTGGGTTTGATGATAAAATTCTGGAAGATGACAGACGCAAGTCCAGAAGAACTAAGAAAAAGACTGAATCTGTGAGAGAAGGTAGTGTGACGAGGCTTTTGTGATGTATTTATTTTCCTGAATTGGGCATGAGTGGAATGTTTTGTTTACAGTAGAGTGTAATGGTGGGCAAGGTGATGAACCTGGTGTAATTTTCCAATCTACGGCTGACCAAGAAGTTCCACACACAGATGTTCTACCGGAGCAGTCTACGGGAGACTTTGACTTCAATGAGTTCTTTAATTTGGAGGGAATGCCAGGACTGGCATCTGTAAGAACACTTTGGGTTCACTTGTGGAATAATTATATTTACGAATAAATGCCCATTTGTCCTTTTTTTTTATACCTAGTCTAGTTTTTATAATATTATTTAATGCATTATCACCAGACTGTTAAATTAAAAGTGTGTACCAACATGAAGTACTGGCGTTAGCCTTTAATAAAAATGTGATTACCAGTTTGAGTTCTAAAAGTTTAGCTCCTGACAAAGAGTTTTCTTCGCAGATGATCGAAGATGTCCTTGGAGAAGGCCCAGTGTCTGCGAGTCGTTTCAGTCAGTGGTTTTCAACCAACTTAAGTCCCTCGGGCAGCCGGTCCAGTAGTTTACGATCTACTCCTCATGAGGAACTGGAAAGGCTAGCTGGTAAATTAGGGTTATTCCACAATTTTAGTTGTTCGATTGTACCCTTTTATTGAGCTTGTTGACACTCTTGCTGTATACAGGCCTGGAACCGAACAATGGGCCTGCACCATACTTTACACCTATTCCATCTGATTGCAAAGATAAGGTTGACATCCTGGAGATGCTGCACAAGGCTAAAATTGACTTGAAGCCTCTGCTTTCAACACTAACAGTCAACAAAGCACGGCTTCAGGAAAGCAGTGAGTGACATTTTATCTGACCTGAAAACATTTTCATTTATCTTTACTGTTGCTTTTCATTTTAATCAATTTCTTCTGAATATTGCAGGTCACTCTGGAGTAGTGTTGTCCCTTGAAGAGGTCGAAGGAGAGATGAAGGGGATGAAGATTGTTTCTGATATACAACCACGAAGAGTACAAACTCCGCCTCAGGGCAATGGGACCCCTTTTATGGCTGAACATTTAGAGGAAGCACTAACTGGTGGCACTGGTTCACGGCCACGATCACGGGACACTGATATGTCTGCTTTTAATAAGTTGGTCAGCAGCATGAAGGCAAGTGGAACTCTTCCAGTCCACCCCAAAGCCAGCTCTAATAATGTAAGCACTTTTATAATATTTGCACATTTATCAAATGGGCATACATTTGGATGATGCGCTCGGTTGTGTCTGGTTTAATTGAATGTTGCACATGCAACACGATTTTTCTGCCTGTCTTTGTGTACAGGCTTCTTGAACACAAAGGCTCAATTTATTGGTTCTTGAATTGAACCCTGCAGTATTTTTCTTTACTATGTGACATTAATTACAGAAAACACCAGAATCTTCCATGGTTGGTTTGACAGACGCCCAAGTGCAAGGAGAACAGCAAAAAAACGTATTCCAGGTTGGTCTTTTACCCACCTTGGTCAATAAAAATGTATCAATTGTTGGAACATGATGTTACCTGATGTTACCTCCTTGTTCCTGATGTATATAGGAGCTCCTAGGTCCTTGTAGCTCTCCCCCATTACTTGGGAACCTACTTACTCCATCTGAAGGACCAAACTCTTCTGCTCTCCTGCAAGGACTCTTGCACAAGAATCCTCCTCCCCTCTTTTCTCATCGAGCCACCTCACCCAATTACTTTAACAGCCGAATGCAGTCTTCGGGAGGTAGGACACACATTTGATGCCCATCTGTAGATTACATTTGTGTAATGTTACAACTTACCGTTACATCTTTTAGGTTTTCCAATTGGTTCCCAGTCAATTCTGCCTGAACAGTTTGCTGACATGCGCAGAGCAATTAGCCCAGAAACAATCACTCAACAGGTACTTTCCTGTCATAATGACTTTTATACATGAGCACTAAAATGTTTGGTGGTCCTAAATGGTCCTTTTCCAACCTCTTCTAGATGAGGGTGCCCATACCAGTGAACAAGGAAGACTTGGATGCACTAGCATTCCAACAGGACCTTGCCATTCACGCCCACCACTCTTTCCAGTCTGGCTATAAGATGCCACAGGATAAATCTTATAGAAATCGGTAAGTACTAATGAAGGCTAAACGTACGTCTAGCGCATTTATGTACTAATTGATTTTACTCTAGGCGCATGAACCGGTCCCCTGGCCCTCCACCTGCAGGAAGAAACTCTCCCAACAATGCTGTCACAATGGTGAGTAAAGTAGTTCATGGTGATGGATATGGTTTTTGTATGCAATTGTTAAAAACTGGAACCATTTCCACATTTGTAGCTGTCTCCATCTTTTACTCCAACATCTGTGATTCGAAAGATGTATGCAACAAAAGATAAAGGCAGAGAAGAGCCAGGAAGTCATTCTGAGAGTAAAGAGGATTCATCTATTGCTAGTAATTCTCAAACTGGTACAACTCAAATTCTCCATAATTTGAATGTGTTGGTGCCAAAGGAAATGCAATTTATTGACTGAAGATGTCTTTCAGATAATGGAATGTTAAATTTGTATCCAGAATCGGCAGATGGGGCGCATGCTTCCTCTGGGAAGGCTGGCTTTCCCTCACAGTCTAGTAAAGAGCAGGACAGACTCCGGTCCAGTGGACACAATCTCCCTAATCTTGGGCCACCTGGCCCCACTTCATCGTTCCATCGTTCTGTCTACCCAGTCCCTTTGATCCCCCACGTGCCTATGGTCCGGCCCCCTCCCCAGCTGCACCCAAATGTGGTTCAGCGAATGCTAGCTCAGGGCATCCAACCTCAGCAACTTGGGCCAGCTCTTATGCAAGCAGGTTTGTGTAATGTTTATTTTACCATACCATCCCATTATAGACGACTAAAGAAATCTCTGTCCAGGAAACGATATCAAATGTAATTTAAATAGTTTGAGTGGTGTGGCACAGCTAAACTGAATTACTAAACCCATTTTCATTTCTTGCTTTATTTTCTCTCTATTAAATGTTATAGGTATAATTCCTCCTCACATGGATCTAGCACAACTTCAAGGCTTGCCTTCTGCCCTTCTTGGTCCCCCACTGTATCCTCTTAATGCGGCAGGCCATCCACTGCTCCCTCCCAGATCTAATGCTCAGATGCAGTTGGCTGCAATACAGCAACTTCAGCAACAAAGACAAAGTGAGTATAGATATTTTTCAGAATACAATCACATACAATGGAAATATTGCTTTTTCGAGTTGCTCTGAGAAGTGATGCACTGGTGCAGCCTGATGAGCTGCACATAAATTTTTTTTTGTAATTTTTGGAATATCAAGGGAGATTATATTTATATGCAGATTAAGATGCTATTGTTGGATAGTTTGTGTCCAACAAAAGATGTGGTGATGATCCAAGACACTTTAACATTCTACAACATGTATGGACATTGTTTTGTGCGTGCTTTATATTTTTCATGTGTTTTAACTGTTTCTCTGATTTCAATGGTTTTGTTAAGTCCTCTGAGATGACTTCTGTTGTGACCTAGGGCTATACAAGAATAAATTGTATTGTATTGAGTCTCGCGTCATGGGGAAAGACATCTTTGCAGTTAAATATACGCAACTATTTGAAATAATTATTTTATATGAAAGCTCAACACGTATAGATTAATATTGGCCTCAGAATGCCACTGCTTACTATTGATGCCTACTAAGAACAAATTGTTGCTCGATGCAGTTGGCCACTGCAGTTTAATTTTGTATTTTTGTGCAACATTATCACATGTTTTTTGTTTATTCTCAGTGCATCCTGGTGGCCCCCACTCAAACCAGGGACCTCATAGAACCAGCAGCTCACAGAGACATGGAAGTCCGCCTCTTGGCCTCTCTAAATGGTTTGGATCAGATGTGCTTGAGCAGCCGCTGCCGTCCATGCCAGCCAAAGTCATTAGTGTGGATGAGTTGGAGTTTCGACCATGACCATTGCACTGAGCCACCTCAACTTCATCTAGTTTCCATTAAAAATGTGAACTTTACTTTCGGAAATCGTGCAGACTAACACTGTCTTCAATCTTCATGTCACTGCTTTTTTAAAAGTTTAATTTCAGAAGAGAAGGGAAGCGATTTGATTTGGAGCAGAGTGAATTTCTTTTGTATGAGACTTTAGATGGTAAATCTTAAAGTAAATAATGTGTATAAGCTCAGTTGTACATACTAAGGGAAAGATTATCCTCCTTGTATATAGTTTTGTTTTTCCTTTTGTGGTGTGGGAATATGAGAGTAATACAACAGTACAGTTAAATTGCAGAGAATTTGTAGATTTGTCAAATTTCCCCAAGCTGCTAAACATGAGGCCCACTGTTTGAGAAGACCTGAATTAATCTAACCTTGTGGGGTATTCTACTGACTGGAATGGGCTGGAGTTGAATGCATACTCCAGGAGAGTGGTGACTGCTGGTTGTGCCTTTGTTTTTGTTTTCTGTAAATTGTCTCCCGTGCAGCGCTTCAGCCAAGCTCTTTGAGCAGGTTGCGAGTCTGTTCTGTGCTATTTATTTAATAAGCACAAATAAACTTATAAATAAACTGAGTAAATACTTTTTTATTTTATTTTTTAAATCTTATTTGTTACTTTGTCTCAAGTTAAGTAGATTTTAAAAAGTTACAAGTGCAGCATAACCTGTCTTAACCAAACGTTATAGCTCCATGGTTTTAACTTCCATTGGTGCCATGTCAGGGCCTTCCTGCTACACATCATTTTTTTTTTTTTTTTTTTTTAAGCAGGGGGGGCGGCCGCATGGGGGAGGGGTTGACAAACAACGGACAGGAAGGGCTCTGTTACAAAAGTGCCTTTGCAGACGTGAAATACCCTTGAGGTATTTGCCACTGCTATTCTAAATGCACATGAGAACCGACGCGTTAAAATGTAAGGCACAGCACGGAGAGCAGGCGCATTTGTACACAAGAGCGACCCCCACCCCGAAGAAACCAGGGTTAAAGTTGACAGGAAGCTGGGGGGCTGCCATTTTTCCCTGGTGCTACTGCTAACGATGCTAAAACTGCGAGAGGAGAGGTGGGTTAGGGATTTTTAGCCTCAAGAACAAACTGAATCGTAAGCCTGGCTTAATCCGTCAGCCCCTGTCGCAAACAACCACACGTATTGGATGAATCCGGCATGGAGAAGGTAGCAGAGCCGTCTTGGACCTCTTCGTACACCTATCAGGTGAGCAAGCACAGCGCGGAGATGCTACACAACCTGAACGCACAGAGGAAAGATGGAGGCAGGTTCTGCGATGTGGTCCTCCGCGTCGGCGAGGAGAACTTCCCGGCGCACAGAGCGGTCCTGGCGGCGTGCAGCGAGTACTTTGAGTCGGTCTTTACCCGACAGACGGAAGGGGACGCGAAGGAACTTGAGATGCACACCATCAGCCCCAAAGTCTTCAGAGACATACTGGACTTTGCCTACACCTCCAGAATTGTTGTGCGCTTGGAGTGCTTCCCTGAGTTGATGACTGCTGCGAAGTTTCTGCTCATGCGCTCCGTCATTGAGATCTGTCAGGAGGTGATAAAACAGTCTAATGTGCAGATCCTGGTGCCCACTCTCCGAGGCAGCGACGCCAGTCTGTTTCAGATCCACCCCGAGCCCCCTTCACTCAGTCTCTGTGTGCCTCCCCAGGATCTGATCAACGGGATGCATATGGTGAACGGACAGACACCAAGTGACTTGGGTGGAAATGAAGCCTCTGGCGCTGTGCTCCTGGAAGAGGAGCCCACCATGCCAACATTACAGCCTGTAGACGGGCTCTCTCCGTCCATGGAGATAGCTGGAGCTTTGCTTCATCACAACAATGGCTCCCCCAGCTCCAAGCGGAGTAAGAGTAGCCCAAAGAAACCCGGAGTGGACACTGTTCAGTTGGATCCGCAGAAGGACATTGGACTGTTTCCTTGCAGGACTTGTGGAAAAGCCTTCACAGAAGCTTCACGTTTAAAGAACCACGAGGCCCAGCACGGAGCGTCTAGTGCAGGTGTCCCCAGCCTGTTGGCCCCCGGGGGGGTGGGCCTGGAGGAGAACGGGGTGCACGGAACCCTGACTCAAGACAGCAACCGAAAACGTGAGCGCTCCCGAAGACACGTGGGTTGTGATATTTGTGGGAAAGTGTTCAGGGACGTGTATCACTTGAACAGACACAAACTCTCACACTCCGGGGAGAAACCGTACGCCTGCCATGTGTGTGGACTCCGGTTCAAGCGTAAGGATCGGATGTCTTATCATGTGCGTTCCCACGATGGTTCCGTGGGTAAGCCATACGTGTGCCAAAGCTGTGGGAAAGGCTTTTCGAGGTGAGTGGGTCATCTTTATATCTGTTAAATAAGTGTAATTTGGAAGATGCGCACTGAGTGCAGTGTTCTCTAGCCAGTGTGCTGCATCTCTTTGAGATGAGGTTGAAGTTTTATGTTTGTGTTAATTAATTATGTGGAATATTTTATTTCATTATTTGTATTGTCTGTACGTAGGCCAGATCACCTGAATGGGCACATAAAACAGGTTCACACAACAGAGAGACCTCACAAGTGCCAGGTACCCTCAAATTATGTTTTAACATGATGTTTAACTGATGATGAATGGGAACAAAAAATAATGTTATCTATGTTAGGTTTGTAATGCCTCTTTTGCTACAAGAGATCGCCTCCGTTCTCACCTCGTATGTCATGAAGATAAAATCCCCTGTAAGGTTTGTGGAAAGTTTCTACGGGCTGCATACATGGCAGACCACCAGAAAAAACACAGTGATGGACCTCATAACTTCTGCAGCATTTGTAACAAAGGTAATTGTTAAGTTGCTCCTTTCAAAAGTTCAATTTTAATTCTTCAATTCTTTTCAGTTTTGTGTTTTGCAATAGGCCTACAGTTATTATACAATAATAACTCTGTATACCAGTTTTGAAAGCCACGGCCATTTACAATAGTTATCTTCTATGTTTTTGCCATGTTTTGTGTTTCTGGTCTCAGGGTTCTCCACTGCCTCATACCTTAAAGTGCATATAAAGATGCACCATGGCACCCCTCTGCCCCCCTCCTTCGCTGACTCGAGCGTAGAGCAGCAGATACACCATGGCACTCCTTACCACATGGGACGCCAGTGCGCAGTGGAAGGCAAGCAGCCGTCTGCTCATACCAGCCATACATATTTTTGGCTTTCCTTTGCTATTTTGCTTTTGGAGAAATATGCTTTTGCATTTTTGTTAACTCCACAGCAATCATTTGCTTTCGCTTCTGCTGAGCCTTCACTTGAATATTGGCCGTAAACTTCATTTCTTGTGTCATTGCCTTTGTCTATTCAGTGGTCCTATTTATGATCTTTATTTGTGTATATTTTACATTAGATATTATGCAATGGTTATATTATAGTTTATGCTACAATATCATATTCATATTATATTATCATATCTTCCCTTTTCTGGAACACAGGTAATGTTTAACTTTGTTCAGATGGTCAGATTTTCATGGCCCACGTTTTGTTACTAGGAGTCATTTGGCTTTGTGATGTGTTGACATGCAGTGCATGGCTGCTTAGGTTGAGCTCGGCTTTGGCATTTGCATTTGATGCATGGTTGTTATAATCAGACTCTATATTTATAGCATAAGTGAAAAAATAATGTCATTATAGTCATTAGGTTTAACGTCTTCGTCTTGTGAAGGTAATTGTTTGGTTTTGCTGGCCTTTGTTTGTCCTCCCTTTCTCTCCGGGGCTGGTTCATGCAGACCTGTGCACCAGTCGGCAGCTGCAGCTCACCTTGCCTGAGGCAGAGGGGCGTTTTCATGGCCTTTCTGGACACACTCTGTTTCCACAGCCTGGCCCTCCAGTGGGCTCGCAGCCTGAGCTGCTCATTGGGAAGCCAGGTGGGGCTTCATATTTCTGGGAGTGTCGCTCTGGGCTGCCTGGCTTCCCAGTCCATGGCTCTGCCACAGGTCAGTACTGTGCAGAGGGCGTAGTGCTGGGAGAGCATGGAACTGTGGGCCCTTTGATAAAGGGACAGTGTGTGATGCCTTCTTCATTCAATGCAATTTATCTGGATTTAGATCCACATAAATAAATTCACCTTTTTTTTTTAATTAAATGAATGTATTGGGATATACACCAACTGTCTCAATACATTCAATTTTCTGATGTAACTTGGCTGTTTCCTCCTCTGGAGACATTGATGTGGAAAGCTTTCTTTTCATAGATTATTATGTATCAAAAATATATAAATATTGTTTATTCATTATATCATTACATTTTAGTAATACAGATTTTCGTGTTTGTCTCTTTTCCTCATCACCCCCTGATGGTTTTCTCAGACGGACAGGAAAACGCAGACAAATGCCCACATCTAGAGTCAGAGGAATCGGACCCATCATTTGGAGAACTTTCAAATGGAGATGACCTGAAATCTCCTCTCAAGTCTGATGCGCCGGACACTGAAATGCCCACACTTGTCTGCAACGGATCACCTGTGGAGACCGTGGGCTCCCCCGAACCCAAAGCAAAGACAGAACCGGAGAAGAGGTTTATCTGCAACATCTGCGGCCAAGCCTTCCGCACAAAATCCTACCTCAACAAGCACCAGCACAGAGTTCACAAACAAAAGGCCCAGGCAGCGTCCGGCCTGGGTGAGCTGGCTCCTGCCTTGTCCTCGCCCTTCTCCCCTCAACAGAACATGTCTCTGCTCGAGTCCTTTGGTTTTCAGATTGTGCAGTCTGCATTTGCCTCTTCTCTGGTGGACGCAGACGCAGGCCAGAGTGGGCTTGACTTTGGAAGCAAGTGACACAACTTCAATTTTGTGTCTAAGCTGCTTATTTATAGAACAAGGCATGACAGAAAATCTATTAGGCTACTAACCTACAATTCTTTGTCCACCGCAGCATTCACATGACAATTTTTAGACTGCCACAAAATAATTCTTTAATGATATGTTCATGTAATCATGTATATTATTCTATATTATTATAGAATGGTCTCGTAAACAGTGCAACATTAAGGCTTTATTGTGTCATTTTAAAATTCAGTGTGCTTTACAATAGAAGTAAAAAGTGCTTGGTTTAATTCTTGAGCCCCCAGAGACTGTAGGGGGCTATAAAATGGGAAATTGTTTCGAAAAATAATTTATGATTGTAGAGGTTATATTTAGAAAATTATTGTTTGATGGATTTATTCACACATGGATAAATCAACATGGACCAATATTCCAAATGATTCCAAATAATTCTATAAAGTTTCTACCGTGCACAGTTCCTGCTAAATTTTAAACAAAAATACAAGGCTTGTCTGCATCGAATGGAGAATTTACTCACTAAAGTTTGGGCCTTATCAGCTTGTCCCTCCCACATCTTGATTCATGCCATGAGGCTGTAGCCTTTTAACATTACATCACCTACAAACTGGGACCAAGACTAATGTACAGACGTGCAAATGACACAATGTATTTAATGTATAAGCCGTAATTGATCTCTGCACAAACTTTAAGTTGCTTGTTTCTTTCTTTGAGCTTTCTGTTTTGGGCCTTTCATATTTAAAATGACCATCTCCATAAAGACACTTATTAGCCACAAATCATATTTTCTTATATTATTTAATCTGAAACTAACGCAGTCTCAATAGGAGGGAGAATAGTCCCCCTCCAGTAAAATGTATGCAGTGTGTAAAGGGCTAAAGAGATCCGTTTCAACTTTGAAAGTTGACTGTTTGTACAAGTCCATTTTTAAAATCATCTGAACTGTCATGGTGACCGTGATGACAAATCCTGCCAATATTTTCTATTAAGATTAAAATTGCAAGCTGGTAAAAGCCTTCAGCGTGTCATGCTCTAAAGAGCTTGTGTTTTGACATTGGTGTATTTTTGTTGACTTTCTTATTTATAATTATATTGTGATTGTAACAAGTGTATATACAATTTATATACACACATCTTGATATATATAATATTTTCTATCACTGAATCAACAGTATCATTATGCACTTGTAAATATTTAGCTTTCTCACACATCTGAATACATTAATTTATGGCCACAGCACTGCACTACATTTCTTGTGCATGTGAAATGGTTGGTTTTAGTTTGTCAGTCACTGGTTGGAGGCAGTCATGAATTTAGTCATCCTTCAAATTATCCTGCGGGCCTGATCGAACCTCCTTGGGGGCCGGTTCTGGCCCACGGGCCGTATGATTGACACCCCTGCCATAGAATGTCGGCTTGTTGGTTCTATGATAGCCTGGCCTTAGCCATCCATAAACTGTGGCCAATTATCATTTCCCTACATATATGTCTGGGTCTGGTCCCTGTGTCTGCAGCTACCTCAGGTGAATCCCATCCGACCAATCAGTGAGCGGGGAAGGCGGGTGTTGTAGGTAGGGGTCAGTGACGTCAAGTGTTTGCGCCAAATTGGTTGGTTGTAGTTTGTAAATGGCGGCTAATGCAATAGTAAAGTAATCCGTTCTGGTTCGGCTCCAAATGTCAAGAAATTGAAGCCGGAGCAAGAGGAATATTAAGTAAATGTCATTGCCGGTGTGACAATGCGGACTTTTATTTGTACCGGTATTTAGTCACTAGGGGGCGGTCTGCCGCATATAAAAGCCCCTATCTATTGCCATGTCTGCCTCTTGCCTACTTCCTGGTTCTGCCGGTTTTGTTGGCCCTGTCTATCCTTGGCTCCCAGGTAAATATCGTGCGATAATAATAATGTATTTATGAAAGTTCTAAAGCTGTTTTATTTAAATGCAGTTTGTGGTGTGGCTGTGCCCCACGATGTAGCTCCAGGCCTGCGAGTATCCCCAGTCGGCTACCTCCCGGGAACGGTGTGGATCAGCCGTCATAGTCTCTCACCGAGCGTCGTTGCCCTGGGTTAGACTGTAGTCCGGCTGTAGCTGGGGAAGGCGGGTTGAGAACTCTGGAGCGCGGCTGCCTTGTCTACCGTTGTTTTAATAAAAATGTGAAATGTAACATGTATTTTATTCGTTCTCCCGTCAACAAGGAAAATAACTGCTAGAATAAAAGTGTTGAACAAAATTATGCCTCTTATTAATGCACCTGACCTGTGTTTGCTTTTTTGGATTTTGGCTCTCACCCGGTTACACTGGCAAAGATTATGTGGCTCTACTCCCCACAGGCTCTGTTAGAGCATGTGTTGTTAAATGCTAAATGCTAGCGACTCACTCGAGCGCGTTACATATGTCACAGCAAACTCAGATCCAATCGTTTTAATCTGCAAAGGAGAATTTCTCCATTGTGAGATAATACAGTATTTCTCATCCCTCCCACCTGTTAACAGAGCTCAATGGAGCAAATACGGACCTTAGTACAAAATTAAATTTGTACGATGGTGTGGTAAGACAGGAATAGTTCTATGACTGTGTGGATCGACAAAATCACAGCCACAGAAAGGTGGTCCGCTCTACAAAGGACAGTGAGCGCTGAACTGCCTGTTCTGGAGGTTTGTTGTGAATATAGACTTCTAAATAAAACTCTGCAAATGATCAAAGATCCTTGTTGGCACCCTGGGAATGCCGTGTTCCAGCGTATTCCTTCGGGAGGTGCAGGACATCACTATGCAAATAGCTTTTCTTTCCGTGCGCTGTTTCCAGACTGAAAGGGGCTCTTTGAATTTGATGATTTAAACTATTTTATTGATTTTAGTAAGTGCTTTTAAAAAGAAGGGTTATATCACAGTGTAATTTGTTTTGTGTGTTTTTCTTTCTTTCTTTTAGTTTTTTTTAACTGCAAATGGCAAACAACTGAATATGAGTGTAGCATAATTACAAAGTACATATTTACAAAACAACATTGTATAAGCACAATACTCCACAGAATCTCTGACAGCACAAAGCTTTTTTACCTATTCTTGAAAATATGTTATTCATGATATAATATTTGGATTTTAATTTTAGCCCATTTTCTTATAACTTTTGAATAATTTCAAATAAAAAAGTGTTTATTTATCCCCGTAGGGGACTTTGTCCTATGCCTTTGACCCATCCTGCCCACTAGGGCCTCTGTCAGGAGCAGTTTTCACCGGAGTACAGCGAGACAGTGCCTTTCCCAACCCCCGATGATCCAAGATGGCGTCCTATTTAAATCAATGACTTGTGCTCAGTGGCGCATGTGCCACCATGGGCATCAAAAGATTAGCAGAACTCTCCCTCGTCTGGTCCTCCCGGTTCACGCAGTGGATGAGCTCCTGTGATGGTTGTTGCCAACAACGCAGGTATGGCTCTCATGCACGTGCACATACGGGCTCGGCTGCGCTTTGACCAATCAGAGGCTGGTGATCAGAGCGGAGCTAGAGCGGAGCTAGAGCGGAGCTAGAGCGGAGCTAGAGCGGGAGCCAAACAAGCAGAGTTTGTCACATCAAAGAACTTATAGAAAACAGAAGGATTTAACATAAAACAAAAAGTGAGTGCGCTGGAAACGGCTTCAAGTCCTAAGAAGCTCTGAAACAGTTGTTGTTTTATACTTTACAATTGATATTTTTGTGGTTTTTTTTCTACCTGATATGTTACTGCAGTTAATTGTCCATGGATTTGAACTGGTCCAGACAGAAGGAGGTCCTGGGTTCAAATCCCGGGTTCGAATCCCGGTTGGACCAGGGCCTTTCTGAGTGGAGTTTGCATGTTCTCCCCGTGTCTGCGTAGGTTTCCTCCAGGTGCTCCGGTTTCCCCTACCACTAAAAACATGTACAATAGGTCTGGCATGCCTCCTGTACTGGCGACCGTGCTCCTATCTCTGTGCAGTGAGAGGACAGATGCAAAAATAACAATTGTAAACCGCTTTGAGACTCTGATCTGCAGTGAAAAGTAATAAAAATAATAAAATAATAAAGATTACTTACTTACTACTACTATGATCCGAACCAAGAGGAAGAGGCAAAAATTCACTGGAGGAATGCCATCTTTTTGAAAAATGCTAATGAAGCATTCAGCATTTTAACTTTGGAGTAGAATGGAGAAAATAGTCCGAACCCAGCGGCTACTCCACCTCTGCTGCTGTGACCTGAAGTGCATCATATTATTACTATGTTTAGCTTTTTGAAATAAATGTATCTGTTATGTTTGTGTGGATGGATGTGTTTTGCTGCTTCTGGACACCTGAAGTATTTATCTACTGTATCTATCTATCTTTATGAATCCTGGAGATTTTCTGTCAGCTGAGGTCGAGCTGTTTTAATTCACTTTGAGTTCTATGGGACATTTTTCTGGGTGGCCCTCGTAAATTTAGTCTGCAGTACTGCAGGCGCCCCCTGTGCCCATTGATGGGACAGTTATAAGCTAGTTATACACTATCCAGATATCCTTATAGATCCATGGGCTTTCCACTCAGCAATCGTGCCTCCAGGCACCATGCCATATTATGCAATTAAAATGCACATCATGGCAATCATTTGAATCCTTCCCTGTTCAGACAAAACAATATAACCTACAGATGAGTTTGCATGAATATTTCTTTTGAGGTTTAAACACATACAAGGATGCAAAATCAATCTGAATGAGCTCCTACTCAATGGGATAATGACAGAGATTTGATTCAACACTTTGATTACTTTCCACATGCACACAATGGCCAGCTGATCAGCTATTTCAAACTCATGAGCTTCCACACTTTTTATTCCTTTAGTCCACTGTTTAATCCTTTTGTCATACATTTTACACAGTTTTGTCTTGATTTTTTGTGTATGATATGTATGTATATACTGTAAGAAAATTGCCCCAAAGGGATATCATAGAAAGCTTGAACTTGATAATTTAATCCCGTAGCTCCAGATGTAACTTTCCGTTGA